GAATGGGGGGTTTAGGAGGGGGTTGGAGTGGGGGGTTTAGGAGGGGGTAGGGGCCATGGATTATATCAACACAGCACCATAGGTGCTCCAAAATGAAAGGGCTATTCTTGGCTCAATTTTTCTAAGGTCAAAAGAACTTTGTGGGAAGTTGTATTCTATACTCGTATAAAAATAATTTCATTAGATTTATCTTGTGAAAAACTTTCAAAAACTTATTTCATTGTATTGATTTGTAAACACAGTTTTAATACAAAGTATAATTGAGGATTAAAGGTCTTCTAATTTAATTTGAAAAAATCAAACACGATGTATGCTCCGGATGGTAGTAATTTTTTTTATTGGGGGAGGGGGGAGGGGATGCCCTCCTTTCTTCTAACTCTAAAGCCATGTTTTTTAGATCTGAATGTAGTTTTATTTAGAGCTATTTTTGATTTAATTTCAATAAGAATAAGTAACAAATAAAAAAATAAGTTGAGGAGAACATGACCTAAGTTTTTAATCACATACCTTCTTTTTTTGTACTTCTAGCAAAAAAATTCACTTTATTTTCTTTTCATGAAATGAAACGTGCTTCACAAGATTTCTCCCCGTCTATGTTTTCTAGGACGGGGGTATTTTATTTTGTGTTTGTTTTGTTTTGAATCAGATCTTTTAAAAACAATTTCCAAACTACTCTCGTAGGTAGGGGTATTATTGTCTGAACTCGTCTATGGGAGAACAATAGATTGTGCCCAAACACTCAAGTCAAATAGAAGTCTTCATTTATTCTATGGGAACTTTGAAGTTTGCACTCAAGACTATGTTTAATTTTTGAGTAACTTTGACCAACAAAAATGCCCCCCCCCCCACTTCTAAATGAAGTTTGAATTTATTTCTTATGTAAAACTAAACCTAAACATGCATGGTTGTGACTTGTGTGATGGGAAAAAAATACTCCATAGTAAGAATCATATAAGTTTCTTTAAAAAATTGATGAAAGTTTCAAGACCACTAAATATAAAAGTAAGAGTAATTATAAGACGAAAAGAGTATGATCTCTATTAGAGTAATTAATCTAAGGGGTAATAAATGTTAATCATTCAGGTCATAAATACTAATGGTTGATATTTCGTATGTTATATAGTTGGCATTGTTCTTACAAAATATGATATTTTCAGACACAAAAATAAAAAAAATTGGCCAATTACACTCGAATGAAGGTAGAAAATAGAAATGTTTGATATTGATGATTTGATTTGAATCTTTTTCTAGTCTGATTTTGCTTATATAAATTAAAAATAATTACTTATTAACACTCTTCCCTAATTTTTTAAAACTTTTTTTTGGACATTTTAAAGTTTCCAATTTCTTTTGATTTCTCCTGAAAAAGTAAAATGCTTGTAGATATTTATTTATTTTTGCAAACATTTTAATCATTTAACTTTTTTTAAACTTGTGAAATATCAAATGAAACTATAAATTAGGGATTGAGAATGATATTTTAAATTAGAGACGTGGGAAATGGGAAATAGGTTCGAATTTTACCCATTAAAGTTCAACAAGTTAATGAAAGAAGTCAAAGAACATACTCCCTATATGGTATGTCTATTGAATTATCCACAAGTAAAGCCAAAAAGAGAAAAGTATTCCCAACTCCACAAGTAATTTTGACTGGTCTCGATCAAATCAATGTGCCCCACATGGCCAATAAAACATTTTCTTCACAAGGATCAAATATTCATTTCTATCATATTACAATCCATTTTGTAAGGGAAATGCTAAAAGCTTTAAAGAATGAAAATTGGAATATCATGCTAGTGTCTTTTTAAAAGTTTAAGAATATCAATTAAGAGTCCAGAGTTTAGAACGGGAAGAAAAAAGTTGGATGTTGAAAGAAAGTGGAATAAATAATTATTTATTGTGAGTCGTGTAAAAATAGAGATCTAACTACGAGTCTATGAAAAATATGTGAGAAGATTCACATTTTACATATTGACCTTAGAATCACAGTAGCACAACTTACAAAATGAACTTCTTTTACAAATTAATGAAAAAAAGTTTGAATTATTATAATTAGTCATCCTTTTTCTGTACAGATACACACATCCGTTATCCGTATGTAGAATATAGCTAGGGTGTTATCATGGGTGCTTCCATCCTTTACACCGATACACAGAAACAATAATCATTTGTGTCGCATATACGAATATCGTCTGTGTGTGTCGATACACAAAATGAGGCGGCCTATAGTAGCACCAATGTGGTGATACCTAACTTTATCCTCGGGTTGCGCTAGGGTGCCACCCTCTTCTGTATCTGATTTCTAATCTACAAGTAACCTTGAGAAAAACCACTATATTAATCTCAGTTTTGTCTTCACAGATGCTATAAACATAGAACAATATTCCATGTTCGCAAATTATTTGTACCCCAATTTGCATATCGCAGGTGTAAATTTTCATTTTGTGTCAGTGTAATGCTAATATGATAGTTCACACAAACACTAAATATAGTGCAAATTTTTGTTAATATATCAATATTTTGTATCAATGTGAACCATCAAAATGTTAGTGTATACCTTTAATGTAACTGTAACTTTGGAGTATATTTTTTGATATAAGGGAGGCACGATTGAGTTACTATATCATACCCAATAATCAAAGCCCAAGTAGTGCCAGCAAGTTATGGCTCCACTTCCACGCACGCGACACGTGTCTGCCGGCAAAATTGCTTCCTGGTTGACACCTCCTCGGTATCCAAATCCTCAATCATTGGCGAAGCCGAACCCCATGTTCCGCCATGGCCGTTTCTCTTCTTCTTCTTCTTCTTCACCTTCTCTCTATTCCTCCCAAGCCTCCATTCTCATGCTGACCCCCAATCTGTAATCGATGCCTTTTCCCGAAGCTTCAAAGCCCTAATTACTTACTGAAGGAAGGGGTCGGTTTCATATTCATCGGGATCCGAGATGACGCTTGTAACCGGCGATCGGTACCTGGAATCACTGGTGAAGTTCGTGGAGAGCCAGGCCGAGCCGTTGATCGATGGCTCCCTTGTCCTCAAGCTCAACCCTATCGGCCTTCACTACGTTCACTCCAGGCTCGAGGCGCTCGCCGAGTTGGAGGGCCTTCTCGCCGGCGCTCCGGTTGATTACCTCCGCGCTTACGTCTCCGACCTCGGCGACTACCGCGCTCTCGAGCAGCTTCGTCGGATTCTGTGCCGCATCCCGTCGTTGAAAGTCGTATCTGTGCTGCCGCCGCCGTCCAGGGACCCCTCCCCACTGTCGTTGCTGCCTTTCACGAGGCTGAAGGTTCTGGAGCTTAGAGGCTGCGATCTGTCTACCTCTGCCGCCCGGGGACTTCTCGAGCTGAGACATAGTTTGGAGAAATTGATCTGTCATAATTCAACCGTAAGTTCTGTCCCAAAAATTCTCACATACTGTATAAAATTCCCAAAAATTAGAACAAATGAATGAATTCCGGCTCACTCCGAATTGTTTCAGGACGCATTGCGGCATGTCTTTGCAAGTAGGATTGCTGATATAAAGGCTTCGCGGCAGTGGAACCATTTGTCATTTGTTTCGTGTGCTTGCAATGACTTGCTTCTCATGGACGAGTCCTTGCAGCTCCTTCCTGTTGTTGAGACACTCGATTTGAGTAGGAACAAGTTTGCCAAAGTTGATAATCTCCGGAAGTGCTCCAAATTGAAGCTTTTAGACCTTGGCTTCAATCACCTGAGAAGCATATCATCATTTGGTGAGGTAATTGTCTTGGCGCTTTAGTTGATGTCGTTCTTATGCAAGGATTTGTTTAAGTGTTTGTTTCGTGACTTGCATACAAACTAGTGCCTTGCTTTACTTTTACTTAGTTTAAAGGGGTAGTCATCTCAGCTAATCCTAAATGTTACTGCCATTTTGCCAAAATTGTTTTTGGAATCCACGAAGCTTTATCTTGGGTGTCCACATTTCTAGAAGTCTACCCTTTATCTGGGATTAGAACTGGCCAAATTGGAAACAACTTGGGTAGGGTTACTTAAATGGACCGCATTAACTATAAATGTAGAATTTCACTTGCTAAACGGATGGGGCATGTATTATTTCTAAAAAGTAGGCTGCTTTAAACTAACACGTCTGTTTAATTTTATTCAGGTTTCATGTTCCATTATCAATCTTGTTTTAAGGAACAATACTTTGACTACATTGCGCGGAATCGAGAATCTGAAGTCACTCGTAGGGCTTGATATATCCAACAATGTAATCTCCAATTTCTCAGAGATAGAAGTCCTTGCCGAGCTCTCATCCCTTCAAAACTTGTGGTTAGAAGGAAATCCTATTTGTTGTGCAAGTTGGTATAGAGCCCACATTTTCAGCTTTTTCCCCCATCCACACCAAGTATGTGTTCGTAGTCACAGTATCTTTTCAGCGTATGATTTTCATTTTCTTAAGCTTTGATATTTGATACTTAAAATTAGTACGCAACCATTAACAACAATATATGTTACATCCCTTGCTTTCTGTGCCATGGGTGTACCAGTTGCTCCTAGATGAAGAAAAGCCCACCACTAGTGATTTATGGAAGCGGAAAGTAATTATTGCCAGTAGGCAGAAGCAGCCAGCTAGCTTTGGGTTCTATGCACCAGCAAGAGATAGTTCTGAACTTGGAGGCATTAATACAAAACGAGTGAGTAAAGTCTTCCCAGCAGCAGTCTAGACTCTAGACAACCTAATTAAATTGCTTTTCATTACGTGGCTTTGCTTATTTTGGATTTTTGTTTTCATGCATTTTCAGAAGAAGGTATCCCGAGTGGTTAGCATTAAAAATGAAGAAGACATCACATTCCTGTTATCAGATCAAGATTCAGTATCTTGTGATAATGACATTCACAGCAAAGTGGAGAGTGTCAATTCAGACCAAGAATCTGAAATTGTTGACTTAATGAATAGGATTGAAATTATGAAGAAAAAGCGATCTGATCTCTGGTTGCAGGAGTTCACAGATTGGATGGATTGTGACTCCAGCAATTTCTTGGGCGGTATTGAAGGTTCAGGGCCCAATTTAAATCATGAAAGAGGTACACAATGGAAGGAAAATGTTAGCATTAAGAAGCAAGGTGAGACCTCAAAATATTTGACTGAGTCCGGTCAATTTTCTGCAGATGTTAGTAATTCAAACGATCTACAACCTAAAACCTCTTTCGCAGAGACATCCATTGGTTTTAATACAAAAAGGTACTCTAACCATATAGGTGAAGCATCTTCAAACTATTTTGCGGGACGCAGTGACACAAACTCGATACATAGTGCTATGAACATCAGGAAGGATAATGAAAATCTCAATTCTTTAAGTAATGAAGTAATTATCTCCTCAAGTGCTAGAATATCTCCTTTCGATTCTTTTGTAACCGCAGAGGGTGATAAGATGAGTGGCAATAAGGATATTGCACCAATTGCTGAAGCTAATTCTTTCCTTGATTCGTATTCATCCTTTGCTAGCATTGGATCACCTCCTCATTACAAAGAAGATATTCTGCATAGACGCCACAATTTGGAAGAAGAATTTTTGCAGCTTTCTACAGAATCTCTTTCAGTAGCATCTACTGACAGTGATACAAGTTGTAGTGAAGATGATTCCGTTGAATCTAAGCAGGTCTTATCTCATGTTGACCTGTCAGTTACTGGAAATCATACTGAAAGTAGTGAAGAATGCTGTCTACCTAAAACAGATATTTCTTTGAAACAAAATGATAAGCATACGTCAGACTCATATACTGAAGGAAATTCAAGTTGTATAGAAATTCAAGGAGCAGAGTGCACCAGACAAGACGCTGAAGGATTAGGTTTCCTGGCGCAAGAGGCCAATTGGTTAGATAACAGAAAGCCTAAAAGGAAACCTAAAAAGAGAATGATATCACTACCTGAGGAAACTAATAAAGAAGATGAGATTGAGCAACCAAAAAATGAAAACGTAAACACTTGCAGAGGCGATGAAGATAGAATTTATGCCCTTGCCAATTTTCATAATGCCTCTCTGGAGACTTGAGAATTCAACTACTGCAATAAAAGTGCTTGTCGAGGATAAACCATTCTCTGAGAATTCAACTACAGCAATCACAAAGATAAACCATTCTCTGAGAAGAATCAATATCTAGTGGGGTAGAACATTTTGTCGAGGATTACTTCAAGACCAATGTTTCACAAGCTGGATCTAATGAAACTACTCAGAGTAGGGTGCTCTTGTTTTGCTCACGATGAATCTAGTTGCAGTGAAAGGTAAATGTTCTGCATATGTATACTGAAGCTTCATAATTGAACATGTATTTTCATAGATAATAAGTATTTATGCATACATATATGTGTTACCATTTTTTTTGTGGGGGTGGGGGGCTTGGATCCCCTCAGGTTATTACTTCAGAAAAGTTGGCTCAAGTCAGAATATTCAAGTTCATGTTTTTAAGTGGGGTTTACAAAATTCATTAGATTTTTGTGAACGGGTTCCAAAAAGTGCACAGAAAAACTGAAGTATTCGAATACTAAAATCAGTATTCGACTACTCAATGTAATGTCCAGAGACTTTTTGTGAAGCACTACGAGTATTGGAATACTTCATTGAATATTCGAATACTTAATTTCCAGGACATCTGTGACACTTAAGTATACGAATACTCAATTGCTAGAAACGACTCTGGCAGGTCTAGGACACCCCAAATATTTGAATACTACAAAATACTTTAGTAGTATTACTCCGCGAACCAATGTGTTGGTTCATCCTAACACATGTTTCTGGTTGGAAACAGTGGAGAAACAGCCACTCCACTCTTTGGGGCTGAGGTAAACTAAGACCCTACTCTTGACTGGGATATATTGGGTTTATCTGGTTTGGTTTGGTTTTGTTTCTTTCATGCCAATTCTATCTCAACCTGGTGTGTACTACTTGACTACTTGTGCAGTTTAGTTGCCTGTAAAAATGGAGCAATGAACTAAATTGTTATGTGTTACTAATGACCAACTTAACATACACGATCAGTTTATTTGGTATAACTTTTGCAGCAGGGGATTTTTATAATGCTAATATTGTTTGCTTGGGGTTTTTAGTCAGATTTTGTTGCTTTTTCTGTTGACATTTCGTAGCTTAATTGTTGAGGCTCTGTGTTTTGGGCACTTCCCACATCCCAGGGCACTGTTTTCTTGAACAATTTATCTCAATTGGTTAGTCTTAGATAAGAAAATAACTTTTTTTTCATGCAATCATGTATTTCTATATAATTTTCATTTTCACTCTTTCGACTATTTAAGATTGAATTAATACAGAGTACCCCTAAAAAAATACGGACTAATATAATACCATCAATTTTTCGAACGGAGCACCATAGGAGGCCCGGGTCATCATATGACGTTGATCTCAATGTCACAGGAACCGCGCAGTTGTAATATATTACCTTCTAGTGATCATCTCATTAGTGATAACTTGCTTCTGTTTCAGGTCATGGGAACCATATAGAGACCACCCCTTGAAGCTTTCTCTATAACATGCAGTACCAAACTTCATTATCTACATTCAATCAGGACCGTTGATTGAGTAACTTCACGGAATCCAAACCGATAGATGAAATAGAGAAGGTTGTGTTTTTAGTTTTGTTGTTGATACTTTTTTAGTTACCATTCTTTGGGTACATACTTAGCCCCCCATCCCAGATGTTTTGCCTTCTATTCTTTATTTGTTGGAACTTGAAGCTTGTGTACAGCTTATAGTGATTAGTGGGGGATGATGTTACAGTTTATTTCATTAGCAACCATTAAGGCAATGTTTAGATGCAATCAATCATGTAAATATATGATGAAACAATTATGTTACATTTTATTTATTTATTTCTTTCCTTTGGGTGGAAAGAATGACTTAAGTTGTGTAATTTGTGCAAGTCCATCGGAATAGTCTTACTAGTCTATGTATTGTGACCCTTGAACTCAATGTTATCAAACTTGGGGACTATTCAATCATGTAATTGCTACCCTAACACCTACATAACCATGTTATTATACTCTGTTAGCCAATGATGGAAGTGTAGGCCTCGAACCCCGCACCCCCCGACAAGTTAGTAAAGGAAGGACCCGGGTAGGCCATATACCGTGTTAGACAATGACTTGTAGGTCGGTAGGGACTAGGGGAGACCAATGACTTGAGGGTCACGAGGAGCGATCGGCGACCTAGAGGTGCAGGGCTGGGCTGCTTAATGCAACCAAGCTGCACATGGATTTGGTGATGGGAACCCTCTCTGCAACCTCGCTCGCCTATATGGCTAGTGGCGGATCCAAAACAAGTGTTCACTGGGGGCAAAGTTGTAGTAAGGAGTAGGGCGGGGGTTCAGGTTCAGGGCAGCACCCCGACTTTTTTTAAGGCTATTTATAATAATGAAAAATGAATAAATTTATTTTCAAACAAGTATTCAAATAAGTAAAATAAAATATTTTTAAAATAGAAAAATATAATATAAAATATATCATAACCCAATACTCCGTATAATGGAAGAAATAACTCAACATTGAAGTAAAACATATACTACTACGAGATTTATATTTTTAGCCCTAAAATAAGAATTTAAACTATGACAATGTGACACTCTATATTAGTATTTCACGGTGATTTTTGGTAACATATGTTGACATTAATGACAACGTAACTCCTATTTTAGTAAGTAAAAACATAGAGCTCCTATTTTGTTACCTTCAATAATAACAACCTAGTTAAATCTAATAAGAGTAGGGTGTTTGCAAAGAGAGGCTCTTTGCAAAGAGATCCATCCTCAGCATCGAAAGTTACATTAATTGATTAACTGCTATCTCATTAAATAAAGAAGCGAAGACACCTTAGAGATCCATTTTGTTTTATTCCATCACACCCTAAAACTAAAAATAGTGAATATTTGGCTCTATCGGAGAAGATGGAAAAATTTTGGTCCTTTATCTATGTTTTACTCTTAATTTAATATGTTTTCCTCATATTACTACAAAGTACTATATTTCAAATATTTTACCTTTATATTCTTTCATATAAATAATTATTTTACTCTTGAACTAAAAATATTTGTGGCGCTGGGGGCACATCATTTTCTTCACTAGGGGCACTCTTTCATTTATCACAAATTTTTTTATACACTATATATTAAAAAAAGAAAATTGACTAGGGGCTACTACTCCCATTGTCTTGAACTTGGACCGACATCTTCCACCACTCCTAGATTTGTGAACAATGGAGTTGTGCACGACGTGGGTGTAAACCTGTGACCTGGGTTGACATCCTTTATTGGACCTAGAATACATAAACATAGTGGGGCGTGTGATAACCTTAGACTAATTGTCAACGACCTAAGGTCGATGATTGCCGACTTGGGACTGGTAACCGACATTATGCAGCCAACGTTGTATGATAGTGGAGGGAGTCTAACATGTATAGTGGATGAACATTTGACAGATGAAACCAAATTAACCGTTACGTGACAAAGAAATGTTGATCCAATCCATTTCTAAGACGGTTGTACCCAACGATTACGGGTGTAGTATAAATATCCTTCACCTCATTGTAAATGGACCAAATTTTAAGACAATATTACTACTTGTGTGAGCGATGGTTTTATGACCATTATCCAAATATGATTGACACCGATCAAGTTGCTAAGAAATATTGATCCATCTATGTGTTTGTGCAATGGAACTGGGCTGATTGTTACAAGATTGGACACTCATTTGATTTAAGGAAAAGTGATGGTTGGTAAGAATGCATGCCACGAAGTAGTCATTCTTTGACTTTTGCTCACTCCTTCAGATACTCGGATTCCCTTTAAGTCCAAAGGAAGTAGTTCGATCACTATTATGACGTCTTACGCAAGGACAGTTAACAAAATTCAAGGCCAATCATTGAAGCATGTGAGATTATTGCTCAAGAAACAAATTTTTAGTCATGACCAAATTTACGTTGTTGTCTCTCGAGTGACCAATCGACGTGGGTTGAAGGTCTTGATTTGTAATGATGACATGCCACCTTCAAATACCATAACGAATGTTGTTTACAAAGAAGTGTTCGAGAACCTCTAATTTATTATTTTTTAGTCTTCTCTATTGATTCCTCAATATTAGTATGTAATGCTTTTAATCTTAATTTGAAATCAATTTTTTTATTCGTACTATTTATATATACTAAAAATTAAATATATTATCTCCATTTATATCTCAAAATAGTGACCATGCAACGTACGACTTAGAGATCTAGTTTACATAATTATACTTATTAACTCAATTTAAAGATATGACCATACGTTAAATCTTTTTCTTTAATCCTTACGTTAAACTCAATTTAAAGATAATTGTATCACTCGAGAAAGAAATTGTATGCGATAGTTTCAATTATATACCAACACAAACCATCTTATACATCAGATTTGTGTTGGTATAGCATTCTGACAAAATTGTCCAATCTTGTAACAATTAAGTATTGTATAATTGTACACATCAGGTTGACAAAATTAAGTATTCTTTTCATTTTCTATAGCATAATTGTATGTGATAGGTTCAATTCTATATCAACACAAACTTTTTTAATTTTTTGATATAATTTTTAAATATATACAAGATTAATTTTAATAATTTGATTTTATACTATCAATATTTAAATAAATTAATTTAAAAATAATTTAAATAAAATATGACACAATAATAAAAAAATGGTACAGAGTAATAGTAATTGAGCAGTTTGTTTTGTAAAAAGGAATAATTATCTTAAATAATCATACATTTTCACGTTTTTTCAAAAGTAATTATACTTTTCATTATCACAGAAAATATTCACACTTTTCTACATGTATGCGAGTTTTGATCCGTCAATGGTTGTGTTTGAAAAACAAATTTTCAGATAGTTTTTGGCATCTTTGAGTGACTTTGGTTTTTTTGACCAATCGAATAGCCGAAGTCATTGTTTGCCTAATGACTTTTTTTACTTGGTTGTTTGATCCAAAAGCCAAAATCTAAAATAGCAAGGGGAGTAGCTTTTAAACCTGGCTGTTAGAAAAATTAATTTTTTTAATCATTTTTCTTGAGAAAGATATTCCATAATATATTAAAAAAATTTAAAAGTTAAAAAAATTTAAAATTTAAAAAATTAACTTTAAAATTTCAAAATTTCAAAAAAAAAATGAAATGAGAAAATCAGAAGTAAAAATCATTAAAAAGTTTTACGAGTATATTATTAATTTCTTATGAATTATATAGAAATGAAATTTAATACTCCATATATTAAAAATTTAATTTTTACATGTACAAAAATGAATAACTGACATAAACAACTAACAATTAACAATTGACAGCCGACATCCAAACAAGACGTATGGAAAATTTTAAGACAAAAAGATAAAACTTAAAAATATAAAGAGTCATTTCCGAAATATTGATTTTGTTAAAACAATCAAAGATGCCAAAAACCAAAGTCATTTGAGAAGCCACTATCCAAACAAAGCTGTGTTTTTGGAGTTCGTATACCGTACATCCGGCTGTACCTAAAATTAGGTACAGCCGGCCCACTTAACCATTAAAACGCAAGCCCATTTATGGATCAGGCCCAAAAATTTTCATTTGCCTATACCCGTGATTTCCAAATCATCCCCCACCATCAAAATTCAAACACATTCTCAATCGAAGCGTTTCCTGCACAACGTCTGCGCTCGAAGCTAGTCTGCGGCACAACATCACTGCGCTCGGAGGAAGATGAGCATGCAGAAGAAAAAAATTGCAGAAGCTTCTTCTTCATTGAGGTATGCGATTTTTACTTCTATTATTGTTTAATGTTCTCTCTAAAATCCGAATTTATCAAATCTTAATTGCAAAGATGTCAAACCCTAATTGGAACATTTTTAAAGCAAAATCGTGTTGAGCTCCAAAGCAATTTCATCTCCTATTATACTAATTCTCGCATTGAAGTGTAAGCTACCAAAATCATACACACTTATACTCATTCTCATATAGAATGGTACTCGTTGGGTAATCTGGAGAGTTGTTAAGTTCATTCTCGTAAGGGCCATAAAAAATGTCACATAACATGTCCATTCAAGTAACTGATTTAATTATTTCCATTCTAGTATGTGTCATAATACATTGGCATGTATACTGGTACTCATTTTTATGGGCACAGTACTTCTGCTTATGATAGATAGTAAAGTTCATCCATATAGGGGTTGTAATATAATCATTGTCCTGTTTGGTAGAACACATTATGATTTATAATCATACTCATTTATACTATCTGTAATTTGGTGTGCTTTTGATTCAAGTAATGGATTGAATTATGTCCATTTTTGTATGTGTTATCAGTGATTCTAATATATAATGGTCCTCATTTGTAGTCCACACAGTAGGTGCATGTTATGTTTGTTATAGTAAAGCTCATTCATATTGGGATTTGTAATATGAACATTCTAATGTGTTGCAGTGTACATTATGACTTATTCTGGTACTCAATTATACTCTAAATACTGAATATGATAAGTCTCATTCTGTATAGACAACTTAAAGCCCAAGGTTATTATTTTTGTGTGTGCTAGGAATATGATCATTCTCATAACTGCTGGTATTCATTCTGTTACAGAATAGTACTCATTTATTGAGCTATGTAGCTAAAAATCTTATTGAAATGTGTTTGAAAATTATGCAGTAAAAAAGCCATCACGGAAATCCCTGTACTACGTGAAGAACAAAGCATTTTTACTAAAGTAAATCTGAGGAAAAGGAAAGGGACTGAGAAGGAACCAATGTTTGGGAGAAAAATGCAACTGAGAAAGGGGAGAAAGAAAGGGATACTGGGAGAAAATGCTGAGCAGGAAAAGAATCAGACTCAAGAAGATCCAATTTCACAAGAAGATGAAATGCCGAGCATTGAAAAGATTGACCAATTAAACGGTGACAAGTTTTTGGTGGCAGAAGTTGAGCTCGAAGGAAACACTGATCAAAGGACTTCGAGAGATGAGCTAAACACTGACCAAGAAAATGGTGAAGATGAAGTAAACACTGAACAAGAGTGTAGTGAAGAAGAAGAATCTGCTAGGAAGAAGAAAAATGCAACAGTGGAAGGAGAAGGTAAGATGCAATACAAAGAGAGAGAGAAAAATAAACAAAGAAAGAGAAAGAAGCGGGTGCGGGGAGAAGAAGGAGAACTGAATAAGATTGGTGTGAAGTCCATAAAGACAAGGATGTCACCGAAAACAATAACTGAACTGTTAAAAAATCTGAGTGAAGAACAAAAAGAGGATGTTAGGGAAATGGGGTTTGGTAGCTTGTTACAGTTGGATATCACGCATCTTCCTCTGCAGTTAGGTTACTGGCTGGTGGAAAATTTTGATACCAGAAGTGTTTCGCTGAAGTTGCCAAGTAAAAAAGAGATTCACATTGATGAGACTTCCATTCATAGCACCATCGGTTTCCCAATGGGAGGAGAAAGTGTGATGAAACAGAATGGAGATAAATCTGAAGAAGCAAGAGAAGTGATGAGAGCTTGGAAGTTACAATTCCCAGTTCAGAAAGGGACAGTTAGAATAGCAGATGTGAGAAAAAGTGTTGAAGAGAATAAGGGAGGAGGAGAAATGTTCAAAAGGAATTTAATGGTATTGATTGTCAGTTTTCTAATTGAAGGGAAGCAGAATTGTTCAGCAGCACACAAAATTGTGAATGCTTTGGTAAACGTGTCTGAAATAAAAAACCTTAACTGGTGTTCTTATACCTTGGAGAGTTTGATAGAGGCAACAGATTATTGGAAAGCCAACAAAAGCAGATTCTTTGGAGGGCCATTGCTGTTTTTAATTGTAAGTTTTAAATTTTATATTTGTTTTCTGAAATGTTTATATATTTTGTGTGTTGTATTAACACATTTATTTGATGAAATGATGATCAGGTTTTCTATGTCGACAATGTCATTTTCAAAAGCAGAAGAGTTCAAAGGCAGTTCCCCTCTTTCGTTGGGTGGAACGCAAGACTACTTTGGGAACGAGAAAGGGCTGAAAAAAAGAGCGGAGGATATGGTTACGGGTACATTGATGTGCCCAATGTTGAAAAGATTGCACTGACAAGTCCAAATCTCAACAACGAAAGTCAGACAAACCAAAGTGATGGTGGAAATCAAGATGAATTACATGTTCAGAAAGAAAAAATTGTAAGGTTATAGTACTATTCATTCCCTCAAAAATATTAATATGTGACCATGGTTAAAACGCTGTAAAATGCAATTCATTGCAGGATGTTATAAAAGCATTTGCTTCAGCCACAAAGAATTTGGCAGAAGCAATATCTACATTTGATGAGAAGCTTCGAGCAGCTGTTCAAGTGTTGCCAAATGATGAAGCAATGAAAATGCTAGTAGAGAGGGTTTATAATCTGCTGGATGGTTATTCAAAAGAGAATGTGCAAGAAGAAGAGAAAGAAAGCACAAGAGAAGAAGAAAAGGAATGGACTTTTAGTCAAGATGATGAATATTGGAGAAGTGAAGAAGTGATGAAGGCTATTGATGCTATAGAAAAAGCACAAAAAAGGCGACAAGAGAGAGCACAGTGTGATGGGCCAACATTTAGGCTACTTTCACAAGAAAGCCAAGAGAGACGTGATAATGAGATGGTTCATGATTGGAGGGTGGCAGCTGATCATGTGGGAGGTGTGACAGAAAATGCAGAAAAGGAGAGTGATTGGGGGGGAGCAGATGTGGGAGGTGTGATAGAAGAAAATATTGAGTTGGAAGCAAATGTTGGAGATGAAGGACAAGTGACAGAACCTACACACACAGAGAATGGAGAGTTGCAAGCAGATGTGGCAGATGTGGCCAATGTAAAAAAAGTTCCAAGTGAAGACCAGATTCTTGACATGGCAGTGGAGAAAAACAATAGAGAAGTTGAGCTGAATAAAAAAGGCAATCAAGATGAATGTCCAGAAAGAATTGCAGAACGACAAAAGGGAAGAAAGAGAGATGTTGCACTTTCAGCTGCACTAAGGTCGCCATTCATGAATAGAATTGTAGACATAAGGTCTGCCTTGACAATTGAAGAGAGAATGGTGGAAGCGTTCACATTTTCAGCAGACAGTGATGAGTAAGTTATTTCAATTAAATATTTTTTGGTGTAGTACTCATTCTGGTATCTATTAATGTTCATTAATCTTTACAGCAAAACTCATTCTGGTATTTTTTTGGTGATGAATTTGAACTCATTCTTGATGACATGGAATACTTATGATTTCTTATTTGTATCAGTAATGTGCTATACAAGGAAGGTGACAGAGCAATCAAGAAAGGGCACTTCCAAAGCTTGAAACTGAACTCAGCTGTTTCTTTTGAAATCATAGATTTGTGGACTGATATTCTTAACCACAAAGAGAAGTTCAAAAGCAATGACTCATCAGCCATAGTGTTCTTCCCAACGAAAATTTGTGTATGTTAAAATACAATCACAAGCAGTAGAGTAGTTTTCCTAAATAAATATAATGACTTTTTAAGTTCAAATTTGCAGGATGTGTTGGATTACAATGTTGGAAGTTCAGCAACAACACGAAACAAAAACTTTGTGGAGAGTATGGAGAAAATGTGTCCAATGTCAATAAACAGGGTGAGGAGTACAAATATGTTTTTCTTCCCAGCAAAGCTGACAGACCATGTCTACTTGATGTGTTTTGACTTGAGAAATATGAAGTTTCTCATAATTGACAGTAAAGAGACTACAGTTGCAATAGGTGTAAGATATATATTCCATCCAAACCACTTGGTAAGATTTGTTTAAGAAATGCTCCACTAAAGACTTTTCTTTAAACATTATTTAAATAACATTACTTCCTATTTATATGTCAATTGTAAAAAAGTGCCTTTGTAAAGTGGCTTAAGGAAAAAAAAGATCCAAGAGCAACGGAAGTACAGAAGCTGAAAACAGAGCGCTTAGATGTGGGACTGAATGTAATGAAAAGTCATACAGACTCAGGAGTCTTTGCTATGAGATTCATGGAGACATATAAAGGGGAAGCAGAATGGGATTGTGGGCTTGAAAACATAAATGTAAGTACTAGTATATTTTCTTGGTAACACAAATATTACTCTGATCTATACATGAAAATTTTAAATTTGGGAATATTGTAGGAAAAGCTGATGCAAAAGTTGAGGACAAGATACTTGAATGAGATGCTGACATTTGAAAAGAATGAGATGAAGGAGGAAGTGGTGAAGAAAATCAAATCTGGACTAATTGCTCAAAGGGAAATCAAGAAAGCAGCTAGGGGGAAATAGGAGGAAAAAAACAAATGTTGAAACCTGATGCTGAAGCATATGATGAAGACAACTTTTTTGTGTGGTTATATTAGTACTATTGATAACTGAATTTAATTTTGATGAAAACTTATGTGGTTATATTAGTGTTATAGTTATATTGCTATTATGAAAACTGATGTGGTTACCAGATGTTATGTACTTTTGGGTTTGAGAAATGTATATTACTTTCAACAGTGGTTCTTTTTGTTTGAAATTGAGTCGGGTACGATGACGTTGCTAAATGGAAAGTTCATATATATATATATATATATATATATATATATATATATATATATATGTTCAGTGTTTTGTGCGCTAGTACTCATTCTAATGTGTTAAGGTGTACAATGTGAGTACATAATGTGTCGAATCTGTAAAAAACACACAAGCAAGTGGATTGGTTTCCAATACTCAATACTATAGCCTGTCGTTGGGACATGCCGATGACACGACGCGGCTCCATATTGAACCGGCTCCATATTCAACACGAACACGGCTCCATATGCAGCGGGGACGAGACAACTCAAGCCCACTCAAGCCTCGCAGGGCGGGCTCCTGTGGTTGCGAGCGGCTGCCATAGCTTAATGGGAGGAAAGGATAACGAGTGTGGAGCCCGCCAAGCGGGCAAGTGCAAGGAAATGAGTTTGGTAGGCCAACAGCCCAGTGAACCGGGCGGGGCACACTGAAGGAAAATATACGTATTCGTGTACGAGAGGTTTACAAAAACTTTTATTCAGTTCTAATGCCATGGCCATGATAAAGTAGGAAAGATATACTAATTTCTCACAATAAAGATTGTTCATTCTTGTATGTGTTGGTACTCATTCGGATATGTCATGGTATTCATTACACAAAACTTACGGAGATTTAAAAAGGCATAAAATTCAGTGCAACATATGATAGAAGTACCACAGGTCTGGAGACATTCCCTTCACTGTCAGCATCTTTTGTGATGACAGTGGTTTATTTTGTGACATCCAAAGGAATGACAGTGGTTTACATGGCCATGATAAAACATTGCAGAAGAGCTAAAAGAGTGAAACACAATGGTTGGTTAACATACTGCCCAGTAAAAAATAAAACACCAGAAACAAAACCAATGCCAACTCATTGCCTATAAACTTTTTCAGAACTCAAAATAACTCCAAAGTGAACATTTCCAATTCATTTCCGATAAACATTAAGGTAAAAAGTGAACAAATCATAATTCATGTATCTAACAATGAAGAACAAGCCATTGAACTTGGAAGTTCTGCAGAACATGTAGAAGCACTCCGGTGGACAGCTTGTTTTCGGCCTCTAGCTTGATTAGTCTTCTTTTCTCTAACACTTTTCCGTCTAACATTCCTTTCTCCCTTATTCCTCGAACCCTTTGGATTACTGATCTGAACTTCTCCATTATGAGGTGAATCAGTATCAGAAAAATAAATGCTGCCAACATGAGCTTCAACATCGACTTTCAACTTGTTAAATGCTTCCTCACACAAAGCCCTAGCTACTTCATTGGAATCACTCGAAGACAAAACTTTGTGAACTTTCCTTTGCATCTGTAACCGCCAAACAGAAGGTAAAACAGGAAACCTAGAACATGAAGGAATATGGGATTCTTCAAACGACTTCGCATTACGTGACCAACGTTTCAAAATATAACAACCTGGGATATTTTCAACACAATGAATGTGATAAATTCGCAGAATATGAGAACAAAGAATGCCAGCTTCTTCAAAATGCTTGCACGTACAACTAGCACTGTCAGTTGAAGAATCATAGAGAACAAAGTATGGAAAAACACTGTCAGTTGGCACATACACCAAATAACGAAGCAAACTGCCATCTGAATGTCTGATCTCATGTTTAAGAGACAAGCTTTTGATAAATTCCTTCTCAAATAACATGTATGCACCAATGGTGTAGACTCTTGAGGCTCGATAGAGTAAACTCACATATGGGATAGCAATCTCTGGAAATCCCTCCCAACATCGTTCATTATCACTCCTCTCATGACTACGCCATTCACTCACAGTTTCACAGAAGAAATGATAAAAATCACATAGAGTAGCAGTTACACTTACTTTCCTAGACAAGGCATGATTGGTTGACTCACTACGTTGGGAAGACAAAATACCAGCAGAGAAGAAATCCTTTGAAAATGCTGGGCACCATTTCTCTCGAAGGTTATAAAGCTTCTTTAACCAATCATTATTCATACACGAATACTCTGTAACCAACCTGGAAAAAAGAATAAAATTTATAATGAAAATGACAATAATATATAATAAATAAGTGTCACTTAAGATACAAAAGACAATACCAAATGAACATACCTATTCCAGTAATATTCAAACTCAGGAATGGTATGACAAAGTTTCAGAACATGATCAAAAAGATCCAAAAAACCATCCTGGTTCCTCAAATCCCTTATATGCTTCTTGGAATTTTCAGAAATGTGCCATACACACAGACGATGTTTGGAATTAGGGAATACTGATGAAATTGCAGAAGACATTGCAAAAGACTGGTCAGTCATAATAGTCTTAGGATGCAACCCACCCATTGCTTCTAGAAAAGTGTGAAACAACCATTCAAAAGATTCAATTCTTTCATTTAATAAAAACCCACAACCAAACATACAGTTATGAGTGTGGTTGTTAACCCCAACAAATGGCCCACAAATCATTTCATATTTGTTTGTACGATATGTTATATCATGCACAATCAAGTCGCCAAATAAACAATAATCTTCCTTCATTTGCTTGTCCCTCCAAAAAAAACTGACCAATGAACCTTCAAAATCAACCTCAAAGGCAAAGAAAAAATCTTCCTCGTTTCTTTGTCGTTGCCTAAAATACTTAACTAAAGTATTAGCATCTGTACCATCAAAGCACCTTTTAGTGTCTTTTGCCAAATTGTTATAAACATCTCTCAATGCAAAACCAACCGCAGGTGACCCCCCAGCTTCTGTCCTCAAACAACGAAATGCATCAGCAACTTTAACCCCTTGTTGTTTTAAAAGATTAAGATATGACAGCTGTTCTTGAGAAATATCTCTATGTGATCTTACATGGTGAACCAATGAAGAAGGGCAAAACGAATGATTGTGTTCCATCAAATGAAGAATGGCTATTTGGTGAATTTTTTCCCAATAGCCCCTTTGCTCTTTTTTTTACCTTCTTTATTACAACAAAACTCTCTCCCCTTGATACTCAAACCATTCTGACCTTTCCTTAAAGTTGAATAACGAATACCAAAACCAATCCTAAATGCATATTCATTATAAAGATCAAATGCCTCTTTCTCTGAATTTACTTTTTTACCAATTAATTCTGATGTTTCTGCCTCTTGAACAAGAATGGTAGAATCGATCAAGTCATCATTAGATAACACCAGAGACGTATGTTGGAAATAAGGTATATTACATCCAGCTATAAAATTAAAAAAATACCAAATAAGTACAGAGGGAATATGAACAGAGGGAATATGGACAGATTTAATTATTTCCATTGTAGTATATGTCATAACACATTGGCATGTATACTGGTACTCATTTTTAGTAAAGTTCATCCATATGAACATAGGGAATGCATTTACAAAGTAGAAAATGATATACAAAATTTAGGAAATTTACCAGAAGGGGTTGGGGTTGGGAAGTTTACAATTTCTCCACAACTCTCAATTGCTTCTATTAATTGGCCTTCATATAAACTAAAATCTGAAAAATGAAAGATGTGAATTAAAATTGGAATGGGGAAAAAGTTTCTGCTGGAGATTAAGATTGCTAAATTATTCGAGTATGAAGAACACTGCAAAATTTAGTTAATTAATGCCCAAAAAATTATCAACTAGAGATTTAGATTGAAGGGACCGAAGCTCAGAATTACCACGAAGATCAGTAGCTGGTTCCATGGGAGAGAGCAACGAAAGAAAAAGAAGCGGAAGAGAAGACGATGAAGAAAGCGCAGCGCAGAGAAAGCAGATTTTGCAGAAGAAAAGGAAGACAAGAGCGATGAAGAAAAATGGGAGAGAGAAAAGGAGATCGGAAAAGGAAATAAACACCATCAGTAAGGGACATTAAGTTTGCAAATATTACAAAAATACCTGGCTGTACCTAAAGGAAGGTACAGCTGGATGTACCATATATAATTTGAGGTGTTTTTGTTTTTTTTAATTTATCACGTATCTCTCTCCAGTCCCCAACGTTCATCTGAAAACCGAGACAGGGCAACCATAAAATAAAGGAAAAGAGAAACTGTAATATCTGCTACAGTCCACAGTCATTTCAGCCATGCTTAGAGCCTTTTGAGCTTTGAAGAAGAAGAAGAAGGAGAAGAAGAAGTGCTTTAGCAGCCTGTGCTTCAAAAACCCTAGCAGAAATGGTGTTCAAAGGCCGTTTTTTCTCTTCCAGGAAACACGAAACTTCCAGCACAGATGGATCCTCCAATAGCCCGCGCTCCGTCGGGTCGAATTCTCCGATCCGAACCGACAAAAAGAAGGCGGCGAAGCCTGGCTCTACTTCCAAGGACACCATCTCCCCCAGCACTTCGTCTCCGATTTCCAGTTTAGCTGCTAGCTTCAGGGATAAGAAGAAGGATGTTAAGGGCAAGGGTTTTACATCCGGGAGCCCTGGTTCCAGTTCAGGAGGAAGGGATAGCTTAGGTTCTTCGGAGCTTAAGAGATCCGGGTCGGCCGAGATTAAGAAGGGAGTAGGCACGCCGTCTTCTCTGTCTGCTTCACCGATTTTGGCGTCTTCCTTAGGGTTACGCAAGATTAAGACGCGATCTGGGCCTTTGCCTCAGGAGAGCTATAAGGGGAGTGTTTTGGGTGCTAGTAACTTGTCCAAGCCTGGTAGAGCTGATGGGAAATCGAGTTTGTGGTCGGGAAAGAAGACTGCTGTGGTGAAGGAGGAAAAGAAAGCACCTGAAAGTTCGGTGTGGGCTGATAACGGTAGCAATTCGGATAGCATGTCAACTGAGAGTGCACCTTCCAGGGAACAGAGCCCGCACGTCACTGGTCCATCTAGACTGCAGAATGGTGAACTTTCTTCTGAAGCAGGTATGGTTTGATTTCTGCCTTTGCAAAATACCTATATTTTCCAGAGCTTAGTTTTTCTTCTTCTTGTTTATTAGAATCAAAGATTGTAGACTTTGATAACTAACAGAGTGAGTAATCACATCGGATATGTAATTAATGCAAATCATCATAGTGCCAAAGGGTTAGTCATGAGAGGCTAGAACAACTGTTATGCCATCCCATGCTGGCCGTAGATGTTTTTTTTGTTATTTACTATTGTTGGTTTTAATGATTAGAACGGGTCTTGATGCAACAGTTGAGTTGCTTCTTTGGTGACCTAGAGGTCACAGGTTCAACCCACAGGGAACTGCACACATTTAAGATGTAGTTTTAATGTGGTTTTGATCCTAGTGTATTCGTGGGCGTCGGGCATTCGTATGTTCCACTTGCTAAAAGATCCCAATATTATTGAATGTTATCCACTGCAAGCTTCAGCTTCTTTTCTTCATTACTATCTAGTTGGAATTGGGGAGGCTGTCTTTTATGAGGGCCCTGTCCTTTGTACTAAATGCAACTTTCTTATGCCTACAACAAACCCCTTTAAATCCACAAGAAGTAGGGTCTTGGGATGGTGAGTGTTTGTAGACCTTACCCTTACTATGAAGTAGAGATGGTGTTTCCAAGAGACCCCAAATCAGAGACGGAACTTTCTTATGTCAATTAGATAATTTTTAAATCATAGTATACACTCCTTTCGTCCCTTATTTAAGTTCCCATTTGTTTTTTTGTGGATTTTAAGTGAGAACTTTGTGGTTTATACTTATGTAGACAAGAGAGAAATAATATAAACGACACAATTCTTCAACAACCCAATTGAGTCCCACATGAGTAGTACGCAGACCTTACCCCTACTTGAAACTTGAAAGTAGAGAGGTTGTTTCCAAAGAGACCTCCAGCTCAAGCACCACGGACAATCACGTACACAGCCTGGCCCATATGTTTGAAACATAGTGCGTATGTTTCCGAATGACCCATGATGAGCGTCAAAAGTTTCATTGACTAACTGCTACTTCACTATAAAAAGAAGTGCATACAGTTTAAAGAGTCATTTTGCTTTATTCCATCATACCCCAAAGCCAAAAAATAGTGAATCTTTGGCTCCATCAGAGATGATGGAAATAAAACCACACAGTTCTTCATTCAAAGAAAATGAGAGCTTTATTTTGGGATGTCCAAAACAAGAAAATGAGAGTGTAAATTGGGGACGGAGGGAGTAGTTTTTGTTTCACTCATGAGGTCAAAAATGTTGACAAGTATTGCCATCAGTTTACAGATCTTGTAATTTGGCAGTTTCAAACCTAGCTTAAAACTGAGGCTGTCTAGAATTCTAGTTATACAGATAGATTGGAATTTACTTGTCAGTTTTTCCCAACTTAATATTTAGGACAATAAATTGGAACATGTGTAAGTGAACTCATGCAGTTCTGCTCTCATCTTTTTTTTTTGCATCCTTTATTTATTTATTTATTTTATGTTTATAAATACTATACAGTTCAGCTCAATTCTTCTTGGGGTGAGTCTGGTGACCACCAGATTCTGGATGATTACAGTCAAGATAAGGTAAAAGAGTTGTACATTGTACCTAATATCAATATTCACTTCCAAGCTTTCAATTATTAATTGCATCACACATACTACGTATCTAACATTCTAACCCTTAATTAAATCTTATAGACACCTTATGAATGCGATTATCCAAAGGAGTCCGAGTCTCCACGCTTTCAAGCTATACTTCGCCTAACAAGTGCACCTAGGAAAAGGCATCCTGGTGATATCAAAAGTTTTTCCCATGAGCTGAATTCTAAAGGTGTACGACCTTTTCCGTTTTGGAAGCCCCGTGGTTTAAATAACTTGGAGGTATGACTTCCCTTCTGATTTTCTGGGGCTGGTGAATGTGCTGGTTGATGTTTTACCTTTCTATTGTAAATTATTCATCAAGTGAACCACATTTCACAACACAGGAGGTTTTAAGTATGATAAGGACAAAGTTTGATAAAGCAAAAGAGGAAGTGGATTCTGATCTTCATATCTTCGCAGCAGATTTGGTTGGAATTTTGGAAAAGAATGCAGAAACTCACCCTGAATGGCAGGAAACAATTGAAGACTTGCTGATTTTGTCTAGAAGCTGTGCATTGGCATCACCTGGTGAGTTCTGGCTTCAGTGTGAAGGAATTGTTCAGGACTTGGATGATAGGCGGCAGGAGCTTTCTGCTGGTATGCTAAAGCAACTTCATACTCGAATGCTCTTTATACTCACAAGATGCACACGGTTGCTTCAGTTCCATAAAGAAAGCAGTTTTGCTGAGGATGAACCTGTCTTGCTACTTCGAAAATCTTTACAGCCCACAGATAAACATGTATCGGGAATCATGGGAAAGGATAGGAAGTCAGCTAGTGCCATAAAGGCCTCCAAGGCACCTCCTACTAGAAAATCTTACAGTCAGGAGCAGCATGGCTTGAATCGAAAAATAGATCATTCTGGAACACCAGGTATTTTTCAGTCTCGTGCAGTTGTGTCTGAGAAAAACCTAGGTGCTGATATTGGAAAGAATCGCTTGGATTCTGGGAAGAAGCTATCTATTCCTGCAGGGAGAAGTCCAAAAGAAATTCCCACGTTAAAGGAGCATGATAACTTTGAGACTGCACACTCTTTAATGAACAAAAGAGGTGCGTCGGATGTAGATCTTGTTAAACATCAAGAGCCTTCTTCTCGTAGAGATTCTCAAGAACACGTATCTGGATCTTCCAAACATCAGCACAAACTTTCTTGGGGTTACTGGGGAGACCAACATAATATTTCCGACGAGTCCTCAATAATTTGTCGCATTTGTGAGGAGGAGGTTCCAACTTTGCATGTGGAGGAACACTCTAGAATTTGTACGATTGCTGACCGTTGCGATCAAAATGGTTTTAGTGTCAATGAGCGCTTGCTTAGGATTGCTGAGACTCTTGAGAAGCTAATTGAACCATTGTCACAGAAGGACTTTCAGGCAGCTGTTGGAAGTCCAGATGGTGCAAAAATATCAAACTCAAACATAAATGAAGGATCTGATGTTCTCTCTCCAAAGCTTAGTGATTGGTCTCATAGAGGTTCAGTGGACATGCTTGAATGTTATCCTGAAGCAGATAATTCTGCTTTTATGGATGAGCTCAATGGCAATCCTTCCATGTCATTTAAAACACGCTTTGGACCCAAGTCTGATCAGGGAATGACATCATCTTCTGCAGGCAGTATGACTCCTAGGTCACCGTTGCATACACCGCGGTCCAGCCAGACAGACCTGTTGTTGTACTCTAAAGGGTGTTTCTCCGAGCATGACGATCTCCCTCAGGTAGGTAGGATTGGTAGTGCTGCTTCTTTTGTCCATTGCTTTATGGTGATGTGGTAAGCGATCACTCTGGGCAAGTCACATCTGGTGTTATACTGTTATAAGATTTGAACTATTAGGAATACTGTCCATGTCAATTACATTGTTTACAACTTAAATAAATGAATATATAAATATTAGATGCCCACACTGAATTCTTAAAGCACTAAGAAGTTGATATTGTGTTTGAACTTCAATTGAAAAGACAATATGGAATCAATTAGGCATTTCGTGAATACTTGAGAAATATTTAATTTGAAGCACTATCTTTGTGCTTTTCTCAAGATACTTGTTTTGATTGTGTGAATTTGATTTGGTGGATAGTGGATTGTAATTGAAAGTTTTATGGTGTTAAAGATCTCCTTTGACACTGCAGATAAATGAACTTGCTGATATTGCACGATGTGTGGCAAACACGCCTGTTGAGGGTGATCAGTCACTACATTATTTGATCTCTTGCCTTGAGGACTTGAAAGTAGTTATTGATAGAAGAAAGCTAGATGCCCTTACAGTGGAAACTTTTGGAACTCGAATAGAGAAGTTGATTAGGTAAGTTAATATCCCATTCTTTCTGTTGCCCTAACATTCAAGTGGTCTAACTACAAAATGAACATAGCTGACGTTCAGTTGTAAGTTTTTCTTTCAAATTAGTTGTTTAGTTCCGTAATTTGATTTAGCTTAACTTCCTTATCAAGGGAAAAGTATGTGCAACTATGCGATCTAGTTGATGATGAGAAAGTTGACATCACAAGTACAATAATCGATGAAGATACTCCTTTGGAAGATGATGTTGTGCGTAGCTTGCGAACCAGCCCTGTTCATCCTAATAGAGACCGCACTTCTATAGATGACTTTGAGATCATAAAACCAATCAGTCGTGGTGCATTTGGCCGGGTTTTTTTAGCAAAAAAGAGGACCACCGGGGATTTGTTTGCCATTAAGGTACTACAAAATGTATTGCTATTTGCATGTTCTTTTCATTTTTTTTCTTTGGCAGTTGAGGATCTCTTTCCCAGAAAGATGTGATTAAGATCAGGTCACATCAAATATGAATGGTCTTTATTTATCTATGAGACTATAACTGACATAATGAACTAAATCTCTGTGCTTTTGAACTGTGACACACACATATATATATATATATATATAATATTCTTTCTGAATTTTCTTCATTACACTGAACTACTGATGTGATATTTCTGATTTTTATTTATAGTTTATGAACTCTATCGGAACTGTGACAATGAATATCAACAATGCCAGAAGGGTGTAATCCTTATCTTTTATGTTCGTTTTTTATAACATGTTTGTCTGATCGAGTTTGAATGTTTTTTGTCTGATTTATATAAGAATAAGTAATCACAACAAGCTGAAGAAGACAGTGCTGAGTGTTTTATCTGTTTTTCCCATTGCAATGCAATGATTTGCTCACTGATCTTTTTGGGAATAAGCACCCTGCAGGCCTTGATTCTATTCTCTATGCTTTGAACCTTTATGAGACAGTTAAAAAATCATCCTCAGGGCAATTTATATCATAGATGTAGAACCCATTTCTTCCTCTCTTGAAAACACTCCTTATTTCTTTTATAGATGCTTATGAGGTAATTTTGTAGGTTCTTAAGAAGGCAGATATGATACGAAAGAACGCTGTTGAGAGTATATTAGCAGAACGTGATATTTTAATATCAGTCCGTAATCCCTTTGTGGTGAGCGCATGCAGCATTTATCCACTGGAATGATATATTAATATGGTTATTTAAATCTAACTAATCAGTCTTCTATTTAGGTTCGCTTTTTCTATTCATTTACTTGCCGTGAAAATTTGTATCTTGTGATGGAGTATTTGAATGGTGGGGATCTGTATTCGCTATTGAGAAACCTAGGCTGTCTTGACGAAGATGTGGCTCGTGTTTACATTGCTGAAGTTGTAAGTTGCACTGACAAGTAAAACATTCCCTGTTACCACTCCTCTCAGTTTCATGTAGGGAAATGACCAAAAACAAACACTGATTATCTAAATCACATTCATATTTCTCACAAAACCTACGCTAATGACGAACCATTAGGTTGAGGCTCTTTTTTTTCTTTTCAACAGGTGCTTGCTCTGGAATATTTGCATTCATTGCGTGTTGTTCATCGTGACTTAAAGCCCGATAATCTGCTGATTGCATGTGATGGCCATATCAAGGTAGCTTTCTAATCTTGTGTTTGGTCTCTTTCTATTAAATATATTCTGACAACCACTTATGGATTCCTAGGTCGTGCACTCGTGCATCTGATATAGTTATAGCTAGGGAGTCAAAATGCGTGTTTACTTTCCAAATTGATTTGTGAACCTAAAAAAAACTAGCATCTTGTATGAAAATTTAATTAGACGTTTCTTTATGTATGAATTTAGTTCTCGTCATATAGCATTCATTTCAGTATCTCCATTCTATTTGGAATCATGTATCTCCAAGGTTGTAGCTTTAATGTGCCTAGTTACAGCTTACAGATTTTGGGCTTTCAAAAGTTGGTCTTTTAAATAGTACCGATGATCTGTCCGGTCCGGCTGTTAGTGGAACTTCCATGTTGGACGATGATGAAACTCAGCAATTTGCATCAGAACAACAACATGAAAGACGCCAGAAACGCTCTGCTGTAGGCACACCAGACTACCTGGCACCTGAGATCCTTCTAGGAACAGGGCATGGTTAGTGTCTTCTCTTCATATAAAGTGCTCTACGTAGACCAATAAAATATCTGCTCTCGTATTGGTATCCAATTCATTTCTCAGTACTAATTAACCACGGTGTGCCCAATGAGCTATATTTCTTGCATTTTTAGTTCAATTTTTATTATAGATACACATTCTTGATACATTTGTTCCTATGAAATGCCCCCTCCTTTCCTATTGACCAAATCACACAATTTAATGAAAATGTATTGGACCGAAAAACTAATAAAAGCTATTATACTTTGCCAAAATATCCCTCATTAAAATCAACAATGTCATTAGTGTACTCTTGAGAAAAGGGGGCAACTTGAAGTCTTGAGTACATTTTACATTTGTCTTTATTTAATCTTTTTCTCTGGCTAACTATTGCACTTGAGATTGATTACAAGGTCAAACTGATTGCCACTCAGTGCACATATATTTTATAAATAGACAAATAAAACAGAAAAATGGAAATTGATCAAGCTAGACAGATAGATAGGAACACAGTATAAAGATCTGAGACCCGGAGCAGATAGTGCTTTGCTGAAGTAGATTTAGGGGAATTAATCCATTCTTACAGAAGTACCCCTTAAAGTATTCCGTCCATCCCAAAAAAACTTCCTTTTTCTGTTTATGTTGTTTGACGGGAGATATTTTCAATTCAATTTATTTCAAAATTGGCGTGGAATTAAAAAAAATTATATATTTAAAGATTACATCAAAAGTTCTACGAAACAAGATGTTACATGCCTATTTTGTTTTATCAAATGCGTATCAAAAATAGGCAAAGAAAGTGGATAGAGTTGGACCCCATTAATAGTTACTACGAAGTTTTGTATGGGACGGAGGGAGTATTATATTAAAAAGTTAAATTTTATCCATCTCCCACAATCATTCCAACACACTCATACTAGTTCTGAATCAGGTTTCACGGCTGATTGGTGGTCTGTTGGTGTCATTCTCTTTGAGTTGATTGTGGGAATCCCACCGTTTAATGCAGAGCATCCTCAGGTTGAATTAATTAAAAAGTTGCTTACTTCCAGTCAATTTTGTAATCTTCCTAGAGCTTCATCTTGATGGTCTCTTTTGCTGCTATGGTCATTTTCATCATTGTGTCACATTAAGCTTAAAAGCATTTTTCAGTTTTGCTGATTTTACTGTTCACGGATTTGGCAAGCTCTTGTATTCATAACTATGTTCACATAGGACTGTGCATTGATCCCTTTATATGTGAGTATTTTGTTAATCCATCTCCTTTGCAGACATCCTAACTTGTTTCCTTTTTCTTTTACTTGACTTTTGTTATAGAAAATATTTGAAAACATTCTCAATCGTAAGATACCCTGGCCTCGGGTGCCTGATGAAATGAGCACAGATGCACAGAGTCTGATTGATTGGTAAGCATTTTTATTTTTATTATTTTCATTGCATTGAAGCATCGATCAGTATGCTTGTAGTAGAAACATTCTGATCTTTATGATTTAATGCATAATCATTCCCGAAAGTTGAATCACGCATCTGTAGACATGTTGTGAACAAACCAAATAAAACCAATCTAGTACATTCCATGTGGAAATAGGGTCTTGGGGTAAGATAAAACACATAAAACAAGCAACACAATATTGTAAATGTATTTCTTATTTTATTTTATTAGCTCTTCGATGGAGCCAAAAGTTCACTATTTTTGGCTTTGGGGTGTGATGGAATAAAGCAAAATGGATCTCTAAACTGCATTCGCTTCTTTAATTAATGGAGTAGCATTTAGTCAATCAATGCAACTCTCAACGCTGAGCCGGGGGTCTCTTTGGAAACAGCCTCTCTACTTTCGAGTAGGGTAACGTCTGCATGCACACACCCTCCCCAGACCCTACTCTTGTGGGATTCAACTGGTTGTTGTAGTTGTAGTTGTTGTAGACTTTAGATGTGCTACTTGCGTGGTGCATTTATTTACCCTTCATGCACAATTGAATATGTAATATGTACCTAGCCCAATCCCACAAGTGGGGTATGGTGAGGGTAAGATGTATGCATACCTTACCTCCACGGAATGCTGGAGATATTAGGGAAAGAAAATAGGTAGGAGTGCTAATGTAGAGAGAGAAAGTGGAAGGAAAGAAAATTTTGGAGGAAATGAAAGATAGACTCAAACTCAGCGAATCTAATTTAGATATTTGCTCCAACTCATTTGATTTTTTTATTTAAATTTTTACTCCATACAATCACAAATAAAACCTAAATATATGTAAAATTGTAAAGAGTTTAATATAAGAAAAATAACTTTTCTTGGCATTTTTGTTCCTTTCCTAGCATTCTCCATGATCCAAACACCATTAAAATTTGTAAGTAGTATGCTCAGTGCCATGTCATCTTTTTGATGCAGCTTACTGACAGAAGATCCTAATCAACGTCTCGGAGCCAATGGTGCTGCAGAGGTGATAACGTCTTTCTTCATTGCATTGCTGTTAGATTTTATTCTTCTTTTTTCCAGAAAAAAAATCTTGGGATTATAATCAGTAACGTTTGTTTGGTTGTAGGTGAAGGAGCATCCTTTTTTCAGAAATATTAATTGGGACACTCTAGCAAGACAAAAGGTTCTCTTTGCTTTTATTCTAAACATAAGGCATAAGAACGTAGTTTATCCCTATAAATTGTATTTTTTGTTAAAGGTATTGGTATTTTTTGTTATTCATCAGGTGATTAATGTGGTTTTCCTCTAAGTTTCTTTTTGGGGGATAAAAAACAGATGTGAGATGCAATGCTTCGTACTTACTTTTCACACCTATTAAAGAGATGCTTAATATATTTTTCACAAACACAAGACGGCAAGAGTGGCATAATTGAAAATGGGAATAACGAGTTTCATTTAGCATCAACTCCCACAATAGTCCCTATAGCAAAATAGCTCGATGAGGTTTCATTGGGGTTCAGTACTCTTGGGTTTCGGTGGGGTGTGCTTGTTCATGACATAGGGTGATTGCATTCAGGTAGACCCAATGGGCTCAAAGTATTTACTTTAATATGTGTATGTGTGTGTGCACTCCCCTTATTCACAAATTGATTGTCTCATTTTTGACTTCATGAAGTTTAAGAAGAAATGTTGAAAAGTAAAAAGTGAGTGATTGAAATTTGTCTTGAAGAAAGTTAAGGAGTGAGACAATTTTTTGTGTGTTAGAGGATAAATTCAGGATGGAGTGTGTGTGTGTGTGTGTATTGTATGTATAGCACTTTTATTATATTACACAATGGATGTCTTAAATTATTAAAAATTATCCGAAGTAGTAATCTAAAGTTATTATGAGGTAATTATAATGGTTTTTTCATAATTTTAATTAGTTTTTTAGATTATTACCTATTGAAAGTACAATTTTTAAATGATCAAAACGTTAAGAAGACTAAAAAATGAATAAAAAATAATTATAAAAAGGTCAGGAGTATACATTAAAGTAGAGTAAGATAAAAATAATATGATGTTCTGGTTTATATCACTTTATATATCATACTCTTGTCTGTAATTTGTTCCAAATGTTTGACAACTCAGAGTGTTAATAAAGTATAAATTGTATGGTTGAAACTTGAAAGTTGTTTGGAAGAGAGAGAGAGAGGGGGGAGAGAGAGAGGGAGCGAGAGAGAGGGAGCGAGAGAGAGAGAGAGGGAGGTAATATTAGCGACCTTATTTTCCTAAAAAGGAAATAAATTGTTTGGGATCCAAAAAGAAAAACAAGAAGATATTTATGCGACAAAAGAGTATTGAAGTGCATCATTTGGGAATAATCTTACAGAAATGAGTCAATCGAGTCAGGGTCGGGTCAATTTCGAAATGTCTAGTTGTCGCCAATTAGTCACTATTTACAAACACATGATCTGGAAATGCCATCTGGGAGCCACCATTACTTTTTTTTATTGATTTTTTAAGGTAAACATAGAAGGGCTACAAACAGAATGTGTAAGTTATAGTGACAACCAATAACAGCGATAAAATAATACAGGAGTAAAAGAGTTAATATTAGAGGGACTTAAAACAGAAAAAGCTATATATTTTCATGGACAAAAAAACACATTCAGCTATTCAATGCTAAACCTAATATTGGTTTACATCCTACTTCCCATCTTTAAGAACTCAAATTCCATCATTTAAAATTTTCATTTCACAGGCTGCTTTTGTCCCTTCTTCGGAGAATGCATTGGATACAAGTTACTTCACCAGTCGATTTGACTGGAATCCATCAGATGAGCATGTTTGTGCAGCCAGTGAATTCGAGGACTCAAGTGATGATGGTAGTTTGAGTGGTAGCAGCAGTTGCCTAAGTAATCGGCATGATGAGCTGGTATGTTAATTTAGCTGTCATGTTACTGCCCACCCACCCAAAAAAGAGTCATATCCCCCCCCCTAAAGGATCCTATTCCTCAAAAAGTGCTTTCGCAAAGACTCTTTTTGGGACTGGAGTATTTACAGTCTGTTTGGAAAGCTGAAAAATGGCATCTGTAAGATGAGTTCCGAAAATGACAATTCATATATGGTGTTTTTTTTGAAAGTTTGGTAACTGAAAAAAACTTCTTTTTGTTATAACTTAAAAATGTAGTGTGTTTCGATCTAAGGATTAGAACGGTGGAAAATGTCTTCTACTGAAAAAACAGAAATCATTTTCTTCCAAATAGGGCTCATTTGCCATTGACTTTGGAAATCATTTTTTGTTGCTTCCAAACTTGTGGAACAACCAAACACTGTAAAATGAGAAAATGAATTTCAGAAGTAATTTTCCCCTTCCTAAAGACACCCTTAATTCTAGTATGGACTAGAAATTCTTTATATTTCTTTAATGATGTGTTCCGTTTGGTTGGAAGGGTAAACAAGCTGAGGAATGGGTGGGTCATGCTGACTTCGAGTCTGGCTCTTCTGCAAACTACTCTTTTAGTAACTTCTCGTTCAAGGTGATACTTATATAACAATGCTGTTAAATGCATAATCACTTCCATGGGTTATTTCATACATTGTTATATCTTTTTCAATGAAGGTGCACTTGAGGCTGCAATGAATTTCTTGTGTTTTAATCTCTTTTTAAGATTGTAGAATTCTTTTCTATATTGGGCTAATAATTAAATGGTAGATGATGGATATCTTTGTTTGGGCCCTATTTCTGCCTGGGTCTTACAAATTTAGAAACAGGCCTGTGACCCCCCACCCACCCACCCACCCCACCCACCACAATTTACACATTAGGAATGGGTATGTCATTTGCAATTTTGCATACTTTACTCATGTATTTCCTTCTCATAAGATTTTTTATCACTTTCTCTGCCAGAATCTCTCTCAGCTTGCATCAATCAATTATGATCTGCTAATTAAAGGTTCTAAAGATGATCAACCAACAACAACCCCTAACCTATGACTGTGGAAGCTTTCACCGAGTCTGAACTTTGGGAAGGCACAGTGAAGCAAAATGCCTTGTAAATTTTGTGTATGTAAGTTAACTTTTTCTGTCTAGTGCTTATATTTTCTGTTTTTGTCTAATACGATCTCGTCGTTGATAACCTCACACTACTTATCGGAGCTCTTTGGAAATAGTCTCTCTACTCATTAGACATTGCACTGTAGAGGTAGAGATTTAGGGCTCGTTTGGGGAGCAAAACAGAGTTGATATGGGCTTTGAAATCTTGAAGAAATGATATGAGTTCTAAAATCTGAAATGGAAGTGTTTAGATGGTTGTTAGTGAAGATGGGGGGTTGTGGCTGGCTGGCGGCAGCGGTTTCAGATGGTTGAGGGAGATATCAAGACCGCCATATTGATATCTCCCAAAATCAAAAGATATCAAACCCTTCCATTAAAGGGTTACATTATTGGAAGATATCAAACCCGAACCCTGTTTATACTTCGCCAAACACCACAAAAGGGTCCCGATATCAAAACTCATATCTGCTAAACGGGTCTTTACTGGGTTCGTATAGTTTGGTTTATCTCATCATTGATCGATCAAAAAATGGATTATCTTTCTTCTGTACTTGTAGATACGATGTATAGGTCCTCAATGCCTGAAAACCAGCTTGATGTTGGCATGCTGCTGAGGTTTGTAAATAACTGTTTTTAGATGTTTCTATTTGGGTCAATAGCATTGCTGTAGTTTTGTCCTTCAATGGTGTACCGTCATGATTTTTTCTTCGCGGCAATGAAAAAGAAACAGTCTCCTTTGTGTTTTTTTTTGTTGCTCATCTTTCTTGGTGTGTGCGTGCGTGTTTTTTACCAACTGATGACATTTTTTTTATGTTTGAATCCAATGTGTGCACAAGTTTTGCACTATATGGACCAATTTTTTTACCACATGTTTTTTCAAGTGACAAAGCATATAAGTCAAATGTTGTCAATTTTTTGTCTATTTGAGAAATTCGGCGAAAATGTACGATGGTTATTTGAATGATGTTTTGCACTATGTAAACGAGTCTTTTGGGGCTGAAATTTTTCTACATTTTTACATGCAAATGAAAAATGGCCATTTTCTGTTCCGTTTTTAAAATTGGTCAAATAAGTGATAGGCGCCTAGGCGGTGCCGTAAGCGCTCGAGATCAAAGTTTTTTTTTTTGCCATTTTTTTGAACAGATGAAATTTCTGTAAGTTTTTCCCAAATGTTTCTGTTTGAAAGTAACTATATGTCTAGATCAAATTTGAAATACATTTTGGGGATTGGTTGTCAATTTTTTCAAGTTTGTGCATTATTTATAAGTGACATTATCCTCATACAATTCACTCTCTCCATCCTAAAATTAAAGTCCTTTGTTGAAATATGATGGTTGGTTGAATTTACTCTCAATTTAACTTATTTAAATAATAATATGCTTTGCAATATTTTAAAATAAAAATTATCTATATAAAATTTGTTGTCATATACTCGATAAAATGAGATGTAAAATGATTGATTATATTAATCAAGGAAATTAAAAACTATTTTCGTTTATGAGTATTTATTCCGTTTTGAGTTTTTGCGGGTCAATTAAAATTGAATTTTGATCTAAAATTAAAGGAAAAATTACCCAAAATAATCTATACTTTACTCGGTCTTTTAAAAATAATCCCACTTTTCACTGTGATGCATAATAATCTTAACTTTACTGAAATTTGCCAGTTTTGGGTCGCCGTTAAGTTTCTAACGGAGGGTTAACGGAAATGCCCGTTTTAGGCAACAAAATGAAAGTTGGGATTATTTTTGATGAATTTTAATTTTTTTTATTTTTTTTAAATTTTTCATTTAAATTTTTTAAATTACTTTCTACCTCCATCATCATTTCTTTTTCCTTTTCTAAAGATTAGTCTTAGTTTAAAAAATATAAAAAATAGATATAAAAAATGAAAAAATGAGAAATGTAACTAAAATGATACGAAGTACAAAAATAATAAAATAAATAAGGTAATCAATGGAAACTAACTTGAAATTGGTAAAAGTAAAATAAAAATATACGGGTGGGTTTTCATATTTTGTGCATTATACAAAGTATTAACATATCACTTCTTATTTTTTTAGAAAAAATAATCTACAATAATTCCAACTTTACTGGACGGCTTGTGTAAAATGTAAAAACCCACCACTCCGCATATATTTATTTATTTCTTACCAGTTTCTGTTTAATTTCTATTGATTACATTATTTATTTGATTAATTTTGTATGGTTTTAGTTATTTTTCTCATTTTCATTATTTTTTATATCTATTTTTTCTAAGGTAAGAATAATCTTTAAAAAAGAAAAAGAAATGGAGGTTGAAAGTAATTCAAAAAATTTAAATAAAAAATTAAAAAAAAATTAAAAAACAAAAATTCATCAAAAATAATCCCAACTTTCATTTTGTTGCCTAAAACGGGCATTTCCGTTAACCCTCCGTTAGAAATTTAACGGCGACCCAAAACTGGCAAATTTCAATAAAATTGGGATTATTATGCATCACAGTGAAAGGTGTGATTATTTTTGAAAGACTGGGTAAAATTGGGATTATTTTGGGTAATTTTTCCAAAATTAAAAAATAAGAATTACATTATATACATATATATATATATATATATATATATATATATATATATATATATAGAGAGAGAGAGAGTATTATTTTGATAAAATAATATTTTTAAAAATATTTTCAAGATAAACTTAATAAAAATATTCTTATATCAATATATAAAATGGAATTTATTTATAGTGGTTAAAATTTATCAATTTGACTGAAAAAATTAAAACAGAACAAATTTAACTATGTTCTTGACCCATTTTCACAACTAATTTGAGAAAATAAAATAGTATTGTCACCTCTTGTTTTGCAGAATTTTTAATGTAATTTTTAAATACGAGGTATATACAAATATTATTTTTAAATTTTTTATCAATTTTTTAATAACTTCATTCGTAAACAAGAACATGAGCTACTCTTTGTGAAAACAAATTGGAAAATGCTAGGGGTACACCAAAAATGTACCCCAAATATCCCCCACCCCCTCCATTACCATAAAAAAAGGCATGTAAATTTCAAAAAAAAAATAAAAATTAAAAATAAAATAAAATGAATGATAAAGAGGCATGTGGTGTATATTTGGGGTACACTTTTGGTGTACCCCTAGCATCAACCCAAACAAACTTGTTGAGAGATGCTTTTGTAAGCACGAAGATTGTCCCCAAAAAAAAAATATGAATGTACTGACTAACCAATAACCAACAATTATTTATTACAGAGTCTTGTGCCAGTGCATGTCCAGTACTTTTTGGTGGCCCACTCTACACACAGAGCCAAGCTTTTATTGCATGGGTTTTTTATACATTAAAAAAACTTTTTCTTAAGAAAAGAGAGGAAAAACGATGAATTTATAGAAGTGGTATAAATTTCGGGTCTCAATTAAATTTTGAGTCAAATTGGATAAATTTAGCTTGACTTTTTTAGTCAAGTTACATAAATTTTGGATCTCAATTAAATAAAATAAAAATTGTGATTTGTTAAAGCATAAAATATAAGTTTATCTTGTTGAGAATTTTCAAAATTTTATTTTATTATATTAATATAAAATATAAAATGAAAGTAATTGATATTTAAAGTTCATTCAACGTGATTTATAAAAAAAATAAAAATTGACGAGTACACGGGAATGGAGGAATAGAGCTAAGAATGTGCTAGCACCATAATGCACAAAAAAGGAGTTTCATAAATAGGTAGGCCTCCATGGCAAATAGGTACTACTAGAAAAAAGACGAGCCCCATCCCCGAGGCATCCTGAAATCCGGCCGGACAGCCACTGAAAGAATGTAAATTAGAATTTAACCGTAGATTGGTGAAGGAAGGTGGAGTCTCTGCCTGTTACTTACAGAGACCTTATGCTTAATATAGTTGCCTCTCAGCGCAACTATCAAATATATAGAGTATTTTCTTGGTCACAAAATGAAGTTCTCGAATCGATTTATATTGATTGACTGAAGATAATTTTGGTTTAATTCATTGAAAATGTAGTGTATAATTAAAAGATGATGTTGTACTGCATGCATTTAAAATTCATATAAAAAATTAAAATATAAAACAAGAAGTCATATGACTAATTTATTTGATTCAAAATTCGACAAAGCAAGCTGGTAAGTATTATTTACTACTACGTAGCATTTAAAAATTACTCGGATCTACCAGCATTCTACGAAAATGCATTTGAATTGAATTATTAAAAAGAAAAATGAAAAAAATAAATTTTGTGAAAAGTCATTGGATGCCAACAAAAATAACACTATGTATATTTCTATTTTTGGCTTAATTATAAAATAATGGACCACCCATTGCCAAAACATCCATCATTTGGTCTCTCATATGCACCAAACTCACCCCCAATCTAAAGTGTTAGTGTCAATTAAAACTTATAGGGGAAGGGACCATTGTCACTCTTTTCTTTTTGTGTGCCCACCATCATCACCACAAAATACAACACCTTTTATGTACATGTGGGGTCAGATGTAACCATTTTGGCTCTCACACACTAAAAATAAACCAAATCACTTTAGGGGTTATTTCAGAACGTCATGACTTATTAACGTTTAAAAAATGCTAAAGCTAAATTATACTCCGTAATGCGAATGCCAAACGGTCACGTAGTTTCTCGACTAGTTAGCCGAGAATGCTTGGCACCAATGGGCTAAGTCACCAAAATCAATGTTTTTCCCTTAGGCCACCTTGGACACACATTTGGCAAGTATTTTAAATAATATAATCATATGATATAATTGTATTAAACTTATTTTTTTAATTAATTTATTAACATATATGAGAAATGCATGAATTGTTATTTGAAGCATTCAAAGGTCTCTCATAGAAAAGAAGCACTTAAGTTACCCACCCTCCACATGAAAGAAAGAGCATGTTCTCAACACAGCTGGTTCCATAAACTAAAAAGAAAAAAGAAAAGTAAAAGCTGAAATAAAATAATTACACCCACAACAATCTCAACCCTACAAGAAATCTTATGTTGGGCCCACACCCCTACCCCCACCTTTAAAGAACACAATAGAAAAATCACATAAAAATTTAAAAAAAAAAACACCACAATAACTGGGTTTTTTTGTTGGGTGTGTGGGTGGGGGAGCCATAAGTTGTTAAATCTAAAGGATAATAATAATGCCAAGAACAATAACTTCTTCTTCTTCTTCTAGCATGATCAATTTTTGTCTGGTTTTCAATTCCTGTAATGCTCATTAGGTTTCAATAGCTCAATGAGAGTGAAAATGAAGGGGGAGGAGAGAGAGAGAGAGAGAGAGAGAGAGATGCCCTTACTCATCACTATCAGGGACAACCTCAGATGCTTTCTGCTTCCTCAAGCTTGAACCATGAAGCTCCTTGATCCGACTCACCACATCCGGCATTGATGGCCTCTTTTCAGGGTGCTGCTCCGCGCAGTCCACCGCGAGCTGCAGCAGTCCCACCATTTCCTCCTCCGCGACATTCTGGGAACGAAGAAGCTCGAGATCAAAGACTTCAGAAGTCCACTCCTCCTTCACCACTGACTGAACCCATCTTGGCAGGTCAACCCCTTCTTCTTCGTTCGAGAGAGAGTTCGTAGGGGCTTTCCCTGTCAGGAGCTCCAGAAGCAACACCCCAAAGCTGTAGACGTCTGCCTTCTGGGACACCCTTCGCGGGTCGGTCACTTCGGGCGCCCGGTAACCGGTGATTCGGGTAGGAGCGGATGACGACGGTCCCACAATGTTGGATATGCCGAAATCGGACACTTTTGGCTCGTATGATTTGGTCAGAAGAACGTTTGATGATTTTATGTTGCCGTGAGAGATGTCATGGATGTGCAAGTATTCGATTCCTTGGGCAGTGCCCAGAGCAACACCCAACCTCAGTTCCCAGTTCAATGGTGTCCTGCCTGCACCCTTGCCTGTGAGGGAGATAAACCAGACAGCTAATATGAGATTACTACACAAAGCAAAGTGTGTTTAATTAAGTGTGTTTTTGGAAAGCTTTTTTTGGAGCTTAAAGTTTATTCCTATGTCCTACTGAGTATTTTTTTTTTTTTGAAAATCAGTTATCAAATGTTTATTTTTTTTCCCACTAATAACCTTATCATTACAAATATAGAAAAAAAATAACACCGCTCATTCATTCTCTGTAAAAACACAAAGAATGCCATTATATGTCTTTTTTTTACACACACCAGATACTCAATTGTCAATCTCACCGAACCCTTATAACACCAATTACATTTTCAGCTCCGACCTAAAGAATGTGCCCTTATGTAGTCTAGAATGAAATGCATTTTATTTCTTTCCAAGACAGAAAATGCATCTAATGTATGAAGAGTTAATATGCAACAATTTGGGAAGATGAGTGCAAAGACCATGATGTATATATACACATATTGTCTCGCTTTTCTTGAAACACTTATACGAAGAAGGAAGCACATTTACTGATTTACCCACTGAAAAACTCAAATATGAAGCAATAACCGGAGTTTCACCAAAACCCAAAGAGCTCTTTTGGTAACCAAATGTGGCGTATTCCGGTTATTCTTGTTACTATGAGCAGAGCAATTCAAAATATGTAGCTTTTCACTTAGTTATTTTGCAGAAATTGATTTTACCAAAGGAAAACTTAGCAGCTAACATCCAGACAAAACTCAACAAACAGGTTGTAATGTAAACTCAGATAGATCAAGCCAACCAAAAGACAAGTTCCACATTAAAAATGGGAAGAACATCCACTTACCATGAAGCAATGCAGACAAGCTTCCCATAGGCATATAATCATAAACAAGAAGCTTTTCCTCCCTGCTATAGTAATAAGCCTTTAACGGCACCAAATGCTCGTGATTCATGTTCCCAACCACACCTATTTTCTCCCTGAACTCACCCTCTGGTATGGTTACATCCTTCAATCTCTTCACAGCCACAATAGCCCCCATCTCCAGGACTGCCTTGTAAGCCGTCCCAAACGTGCCCTTACCCAGAACCTCAGCAGAAGCTCTCAAAAGATCCTCCAAATCAAACACTCTCGCCGTGCCTCCAAAGAACACCAGTTTCTTGGCCCCTGTCCCACCTCCCCCGCTGCTCTCTCCTCCTTTCCCTTCCCCTGTCATAGCTGCACCAACAGCAGCAGCCGGATATGTATTCTCCCTCTCTTTCTCTCCAGCTTCAGGATGCTTTGTGGTAGCAACATTGACTGACCCGGATTTCTTTCTGCAAAGAACACAGAGGATTAGGAATAACAGTAGAAATCCCACCACAGATCCGACCACAATCCCTGCAATTGCTCCGCCTGAGAGTTTCTTCTTGTTGTTTGACTTCCCAATTGTTAATCCATCCGTAGCTATGGCCGGCGGGGTCTTCTCGCCAAGACAAACAGCTAGAGGCTTCCCGCAGAGTGAATTTCCGGTAAAACCCTCGGGAGGGAAGGATTCTAGGCTCTTCGGGATAGACCCGTTCAAGTTATTGAATGAAACATTGAACTGTCGGAGTTTCAGATTGTTTAGCTCCGGTAAGGACCCGGAAAACCCGTTTTTCTCCAGAAAAAGGGTCCGCAAGCGGGTCAAATTGTTGAACCCGGAAGAGATGTTGCCGGAAAAATTGTTGTCAGCGAGATTGACGCGGACCAATGAGCGAAGACCGAATAACGAATCGGGCAAGGAGCCGGAGAAGAGGTTTCCCTGCAGGTAGAGGTTCTGAAGCTCGACACACTGAGAGAGGTCGGCCGGAAACGGGCCGGAAAGGTGGTTCAGACGGAGGCTGAGCGTGCGGAGGCGCGTGAGGTTGGAGAGCGTGCCGGGGGGAATTGAACCCGAGAGAGAAAACCCAGGTAGCCGTAGAGCAGTGACCCTGTCATCCTCGCACTGAACTCCGCCCCAATTGCAGTGATTGGCGCCGTCGGTGGCGTTCCACACGAAGCCCCGCCGCCCGCCCACGGCGGCGCGGAAGGCCAGCAAGGCTGCGCGGTCGGAGGCGGCGGCAGAAGAGAAGAAGAGAAGAAAAAGCAAAAGGGGGAGAAGCATTGTCCACTTCGAGTCAAAGAGAGACTCCATTGTTTCTCTGGTGCGGAGAAATGTAAACCCTTTTTGTTCGCATTCAATTTTGGAAGGGATAGACTTTAAAGGGCTGTTTTCTAATTTCGGAACGTTTTGGGCCTCTCAAAAGAAAAGTCCAAACTTCAGCATTTATGTTTCTTTTGGGTATACCAACTACCCAAGGGTACCCAAAAAAACCAACCAAATTTAGAATAATTCCTCTTTCTTTTTGTTTTGAAAGTAAGAATAATTCCTCCTTTCTAGTGCTAAAATTATTATTATTATTATTATTATTATTATTATTATTATTATTATTATTATTATTATTTGTTGACCAATCCACTTGAAATGAGTCCCTATAACGTGTGTGCCCGCATGAGTAGCTCAACTGGTTTAAAGAAAAGATGTCAAATCCATTGATTCTAAGGTCGAATCTCAGCAACGGCAGTATAAAAGTTCTATTATTTGTAATAGTTCTTTGTGCGCATCGGGCACGTTGCGGTCTCTTTAAGAACCAGATTGATATTATAGATATATGGATACGCATTTGAAAACTAAATAATGTTCATCATATTTATATAGAATAGACATTTATGGATAACATGATACTCATTTTACGGATTTATTTTTTGAGATTTAATCAAAAAATGCACATTTAAAAACATGTATGTTCTGAATAGATAATTGTATAATGTGCATCACATTCTTTATGACTAACGGAATACTCATTTCATACATTTATTTTTCACGGAGTAACAAATATACTCATTATAAAGTTTATGTATACGAATTTAGTTTGGTGCAAACATAATGCTCAGTCTCGTTCAGCTATTTTTGTCTCATTTCATTTCACAATGTTTGATTAAAACTTGTTTTTAGAAAATTTGTATAATTATTTGTTTAGAATTCAAAAAAAAAAGTTTATGTTAAAAAACTACGTATACTCCGTACAAAACAAAAGGTGATATAAAGTTATGGAATATATTCTCGAGTACCTGTTTTAAACAATTGGGGCTCTAAGCTAATGCCTAGTTTATCAAGGCCCAAAAACGGGTGTCGAACAAAACACTATATACTCCTTTTAACCCTTAAATGAATTACTACCTCCGTCCCACTCTTTTTGTCCAGTTTTGACTTTTGGAACTGTTCATCTAAGCACTTTGACTCATCAAATTCTCTCAATGTGTAAGTCTAAAAATAGTCATGTGTGATCTTGTTTGATTTATCTTAACATATAGATTATTAATATATAATTTTTATAATTTTTTAATATACAAATTACAAGGTAAAATGGATTAAAGAAGTGCATTGGATGGTGTGCAAAAATGAAAGTGGACAAAAAGAGTGGGACGGAGGGAGTACTTCTTTGGTTCTAAAACATTTTTTTCATTTTTATTTATGAGATTTGATCTACTTTATTTTCAATCAATTTATTTGATTATTGATCTAAAATTAAAAAATAAAGTTTATATATTTAAAAACTACATCAAAAATTTCATATAAAGTTTATATATGTTTGTTTGTTTTATCTATACTTCTATCTCTAAGTCAGTAATTAGTTTAAAGTAATTTTCTTAAATAAGATTAAAACATAATGACTTTTTTAATCGAGTACCATATATTTTTATTTCTCAATGTTGTATTACTGTTCAATGTTCACTGGTCATTGTTTAAGTAAATGTTCATTGCCACTTGATATTGTTCAAACTAAATGTCCATCCTCACTGGGCATTGTTACCTCCACTAGATATTATTCAAAGACTATTTAAGGAATAAAAAAAATATAAGTACTATATTAGGAAGGGATATACGCTTTGATACTACTTGATGCAAATTTCACTACTTTAAATTCATTTGCCTATCGAAGAAATAAGGTTAAGATTTACATAAACACATTCTTTCCAAATTTTTGTTTTTGTGAGATTTTACTCAATCTATTGTCACAAGATATCCATGTCTTAACCCTACCTTTGCTATTTCATAAGGCATGTGGTGCGAGTGAGATTTAGTTCAACATTTGGTATAAGGGTGCTACAAGGGAGAGATCCCGAGTTCGATATCTACTTCTAGTGACTTCGATGAGGGGTAATCATGTAAACTATAGAATCTCTGTAAGTACCAGACACGAGATCTGCTCTAATGCTAACTGATTAAGATTATAGCTCAATTTATCACTCTATATGACTGCCCAATACAGAGTTCATCCTTTTTTACAAAGCATGTAGTATATATAAATGAATGGGATATGGATTGAAAGAGTAGGTAATGCTGAGTGATTCATGAATTCATGCGGTTGTCCCACCACAAAAAAGTCAACCACCATCATCATCATCAATTAAACGAATTAAATGTGGGTTTGCTTGTAAAACAACACACTTGTGCTTATATCATAAAGAAAAAGTTTGCGGGTGGGCGTTACACAGTTGACAAAGGCAAGAAATACCAAGAAAGTAAGACTCGAGTTCGATTTCTGTCAACTGCGTTGTAATGCAACTATGTTAAGCATAGAATCTCTACAAGTACCAGGTACGGGCTCAATTCTTTGCCACCAATCTGCGATTAAAGTTCAATTTACCTCTTCTCAGTGACTGTCCGATCGGATTTGAGGGAGCCCTCAAAGATGGGGCTCATTCTTTTTTATTAAGAAGTTCTTTTTTTCTGAAGATCCTACAGTTATCATACTTTTTTCTCTAAAATTTTTCCTAGACATGGACTCTCAAACATATTTATGATATTCATGTATCTATAAACAAAAAGATGACGAGAAATTAAAATTCACATGACTTTGTATACTAATCAAACTCTTTCATTAAAGTTGCTAAATGCATTCTTTGAAGCTAGACGCAATAAAGGCTAAATCATCTTCAAAGACATAAAGAATTCATCCACTTTAAGTTTAAGTAGACTCAAGTGAGAAGAAAGTAGGACTTAACCGACTTTGGCAGTATTCAGGTTCTTAAACATTTTATATGCAATTCATTCGTCTCCAAATAAAATTTCGTTTATGATTTACAATGTTTCATTGAATTTATTCTCGATTTAAATTACTTATGCTTTTGATAAAAAAATGTGGACGGATTTTTGGCACGGCTGTTTTTCTTCTCCATTGCAAATGCTCTAACGTATTTCTATTAATTCATCCGTCTTAAAATATTTATCAAGTTTGATTTTTTTATCGAGGTTAATCCATCAATTACAGTACTTTAAATTTATACTGCATATTAATACAATAAGATGATATTTTGAAGATTTTCAACAATATAAATCAAGGACAATTGATTTTCTGAGTTAATGCAATAACATCTAAGACAACTTTTATTTAGCTAATAATCAAATTTCATTCAATTTGACTCAAAATATCAAAAATGACATATAATCTGCAACAAAAATAATATTAATCAAGCCCGAACTACCATGTTCATCCATCTGACCCTAGGCTGAAACTGAATGATATGAGTAGGGCGAACCCGATTCAAAAGTGGGATCCAATGTTGGGGTACTAGTGACATGGCAGACGCTAAGATTAGATCAAAGAAAAGTGCCTTATTCACTGTCAATTTTTTTAGGAGAGAAAAGTAGATCACAATCATCTCATTTACTCAATAAATACACCTCAAACCCTTAATATACAAAGGCATTCTAATCTCTTTTGATCTCTACTATTCACAATCTATAGTTTCTTTGTCATAATCTTCATATACTCATGACCTATTGTCATGTCCTGTGGATTAAAGCCCATCACATTAATTTTAATTGAATTTTGAGTGACTTAAACCCAACATTGCACTTTCCCAAAATAAATCTTTATATGCAAAAGTGTACAATACATTAAGTGCTTCTCAACTGCTCAATTATACATCCCTTTACATAAAAATGGAAGATACAGAAGAAGCACAAGACTTTGGTTCTCTCCCTCAACTTTGTAAACCAACAGAGTCCTATGAACCGTTGAACCTTTGCTTCCAAGGGTACAGAGTCCTACAAACCGTGATCCTAGAACAGTCACAGAGTCCCTATCTGTTAAAATGCTAAAAGAGCACAAGCCGAACAAAAATGAATTGGTCACTTTCACAATGTAGAGGTGTAACGTCTAAGCGGGGATTTTCAGGACTCACGGTTTATGGCAATATCGGTTGTCTTCACTTCTTAAGCTCATCCATTAGTAGATGTGCCACTGACTTGTATCCCATCTCCCTAGCTATATATTTTTAACCAATCCAGCCAACAAAAGGGGAAAAAGATGGGAAAAAAGGAGTTAAATATGTACATTTACTCCCTTAGGATCTATTCTTTTCCATTAAAATTTACTGCATGGAAAAGTTCAGAATGGAAATAAAAATAAGCCCAAAGATGGTTGCCGACTTTCTTGTTTTCGGTTGTCCAGAATTAGTTGTCCATATTTAATATTCAATAAAGAAATTATAATGAAGTAATGCACGGTTTAAAATATCCTAAAAGATAGTGTACGAGCATTGTTGACATGAACAAGTAGGAACTATTTGACATTTTAAAATCATTTCTTAAAAATGATTTTTTTAATGGAAAAATAAATCCAGCTATGTTAGGAGGGAGGAAGAGTATGTTGGTGATATGAAGTGAGCAAAGAGTACATCAATAGTTATAATATCAGCCATTGACAAACCTCTGTATATCGCTATCCCCGTTGGAGCCATCCGCCGCTTCTTCAAACAAAATGAACTATCCAAGACGAAGAAGATGCTTCAATAGATTAAATCTCTATCGTGTTTATGACTAGTAACGTATTTAGACTTGAGTTCCATCCTAAAAGTTTTATCTTAATATGGGGTACTATATCTTTGTTCGTTGGGATTCTTTTGACATTCAACGTGGGTGTTATATTATGACACCCATATGATTTTAGAGATATATGGTGCTCTGTTTGACCCTGAAGTGGTTCCTACCCCCTAATCTCTCATATTTTGTTGTTGTGTTAGTGTTAACTGTAGCATAATGGCAAAATATGGGGATATATGACTTTGCCTTCACATTTTGTCATTATGCTACCGTGTTCACTATAGCGTAACGGCAAAATACAGGGGGGGGGGTGATGTTTGAGGGTTAAGGCGATATGGGGATGGAACCACTTTGGAGTCGAACGGAGCACTAGTGGGCCCTCACATCGTTTGGTGTTATATTATGACACCAGTGAGTTGGTTTCAAAAGATCCTGCCTCTGGTTGGTTTGCATTTTTACCTTATTGATGAGAACAATGAGGTCAAAACATGTACCTAGAAGGCACACCCAAAAAAAGTTAAATAGAAGTTAAATTACCTATTGCAAATCCAGTATGGATTGATCCCTTTATCTTCAACACAGTGAGGGCACATCCATTCTTTATTTGATCTCACTTCCTCCATTTCTATCACAAGTAAACCATACACAGTATATACATGAGTTTCCTCATACTCAACCTTCTTTTTGTATCATACTATCAAAACCAAAGAAGAACTCTGCTTCAAGAAAAATCCAAACTAAACCCAAACCAGACAAACCGAGTAATTCCTCAAAATGCTTTTGGATTTTTAACTCACCTTCGCCATATCTAACCTTGAGGCAAGCTCGGCAAAGGACGCCATTGGTAGAATGACAAAATGAACAATCAGTCTTTCCTGTTAAGAAAAAAAAAGTTCTTTAGGGGGTACATAGACTAGAAATATATTTATCTATAATGTTCTTTAAATGCCCAATACTAAAACAAAGTTCGGTAAGGTGTAATGTAATCTCACTAACCTATGCATGGCTGGTCCAAGTCAAGATCACCACAATGCTTGCAGTCGTCTTCACCACAAAGTTTCTTTTGCCTATAATTTATTTGCCAATGGTTCAAAACCATAGAGCTTGTAGTGTTAAGAGAATGTGGGGAAAATAAAATAAACTTGGGCATTAAAAAAGAACTGAGAAAGAGAGAGAGGGATTTGCACAGGAAAAAAACCTGCAGAAGTGACAACAAATTCCATAGACAGGGTCATACACACTGCCCCTAGCTTTGCTTGAGCAACGGCGATCCAGAGCATAAGGCAAAGGCCTGTGAGCATTATACTCAGAGTATTCATCTTCTTCAACCTTCACTGGAGCTGTATGGTTGCTCATTTTGCTTTTCTCGCGAGTTGAACGACGAAATTGTTCAAGAGAATATTCAGTCTTGATCAACTTCCTCTTTTGCAATTTTGGCTTTTCAGATATAGACCGAAGTTCTGATATTGTCTTTTGAAGTCCCAGACTTTTAAGTCGAGCCTGTTTTGCATCAGAGAACACACGGCTAAGTATGAATAGCACAGCAGGTCTGTTTGGCTCAAATGGTTTTTTTGGGAAGGTAATAACATCCATTTGGGCCAAATTAAAGTATATGAAAGCTATATTATACTGTAAGAGAAATAAGCACAAAGGGATTACCAATCACAACAAGAACTTGACATAAAGCACAAAAAATACACCAGCAGCACACGCTACACACTAAGGTATACAAATGCTAACAGAAGAAGAAATGACCTTGTTTTCCAAAATGCGTGCTTTGCGGAGGTCTTCATAGTCACATGTTACTTTGACTTCCTCCATTTCTGCCAGAAAGGAAACCACGCATAGAACTATTTCCTTTACTATCATAAAGGATGTAGATTTCTTCTGCAATTATATAGAACAAACTGAAGCGAGGTAGCACCATATCGTGACAAGTGTGCACTGACATTAAGAACAACTTGCACTTCTTGCATTTCTAGCGACATCATGTCACTAGTGGCATGTATGGTGGCCCAACATTACTATAAATCACACACTAACTGTGTAAACTTTGTTAGGAAAATTTTCCATTTTTTCGCCCCATGACTATTATTAGGACCAAGCGTTGAGGGGCCAAAAGTATATTCGCAAGACCAAAACAGGAAATTTTCATTCATTCTCTAACCAAACAAGACTTTCATTTTTCAAAACGAAAAAAGTTACTAACCAATGCGAGGTTCATCCACATCAAGATTGCCACGATACTTGCAATCATCTTCGCCATGTGGTTTCCCTTCCCTGTGAAGCAACAACTAATCATAAAATTTGTAGCTCAAAACCTTAGACTATGTTTTGTTGGGGAAATAATGTAAGAAAGGAAAATGCTAAAGAAAAGAAAAAAATGTCAAAGAAATTAAAAATCTTGGTTGTATTTGATTAGTAGGGAAATTAGTGAGAAAATAATTTTTCAATAGCTTCTTTGCTTAGTTGTTGTAAATAAAATGAAAGAAGAAGTTATTCAAAGAGGGGAGTGGGTGTGAGGGCATGAGGGTGGGTGGGGGAATGTGGGGTGAGGGGTGGTTGGGGGTCGAGGGACGTGGAAGGGAAAAGAAGAGTTTGTTCTTTTCTCTCCTATTACTCACAAAAAAAATGGGGAATAATCACATTTCTAATTTTAGTTTATGATTTTCTTCCCCTATCATTGAATCAAACTTAGTATTAATGTCGAGCCATGGATGTGTTAACATATCCTAAATCGACAAAATCCAAATATATAAAGACCATGGACTGCCCTTATCAACATTCAGGATTGTAGTAAAGCTCACAATCTTCACACTATGTTTGGTTCAAGGAACTTGAATAGAAAAAGAAAAGAAAATAAGATGGAAAACCAATTATCTTGTTCAGTTAGAGAGGAAAATTAAAGAAAAGAAAAGTGGAAGGAAAAGAAATTGGGAAGTCAAAATGTACTATGAGAAGGGAACACAAAATTCCTTCCATTTTGGTGAGGAAAATGAGAGAAACTCATTTTTTTTCTTTTCCTTCCAAATTCTTTGAACCAAACATTGTGTTAACGTGGAAGAAACCACGCCCCTAAAATTCTAAAAATACCTATAGAGGAAGAGAAATTGCAGGCACAAACCTACTTCCATCCAAGGTTGGGCAATTCAACGGTATTGCTTTCAACCGAGTGGAACGACGCAAAGGTCCAGCAGAATAGTCAATCTTGATCCGCTTCCTCTTTTGCAATATTGGCTTTCCAGATATGGACCGAAGTTCTGATATTGTCTTTTGAAGTCCCAGACTTTCCAGCCGAGCCTGTTTTGCACGGATAATGCACACGGCTAAGTATGAATAACATAGTTAGGGCCAATTTGTTCATATTTATTTGGCTCAAATGACTGATTTCTTTGGAAAGGTAACACCCATTTTATGCTATAAGCAAAAACTGATTATCAAATGTTGCCTAAATTTGAGGTTGTAAAATACCAGGAGTAGTGGAAGAAGAAATGACCTTGTTTTCCAAAATACGCGCTTTGCGAAGGTCTTCATAGTTACACGCTGCTCTAACTTCTTCCATCTCTATGAGGAAACCACACATAGAATTAATTCCTTTACTATCATAAAGAACAAAGATTTCTTCTGCAATAATATAGAGCATATTGTTGTGACGTGGCACTATCTTGCGTGACAAGTGTGCTCTTACATTAAGAACAACTTGCATTTCTCGTTTTTCTAGCAACATCATGTTACTAGTTGCACGTATGGTGGTTCAACATTACTGTAAACCACACACTAACTCTGTAATGTTGTTAGGGAAATTTTCCATTTTCGGCACCGTGACAATTAGGACCAAACATTGAAGGGCCAGAAGTGTAGCCATTAGACCAAAACTGGAAATTTTCATTCATTCTCTTACCAAACAAGACTTTCATTTCTCAAAACAGCAAAGTGACTACTAACCAATGTGAGGTTCATCCACATCAAGACCACCTTGGCGCTTTCCCTCATTGTCACCACATGTTTTCCCTTCCCTGGACAGCAAAACAATCAATCAAAACACAAAATTCTAGCTAGTTACTCAAATCTTATCTATCAAATTGTTCAGGTGCCAAAATTATGGGGGACAGGAAAAAGAAATTGCAGGCACAAACCTACCTACTCCCATGTAAAGGGTCCTCCAATGGAATTCCTTTCAATCGATTGGAACGGCGCAAAGGGGCGGAAGAACAGTCAATCTTCTTCCATTTTCTCCGCTCTGTGTTGGGAGTGATGGATCGAAGTTCTGAGATCTTGTTGTGGAGTCCCAGTGTCTCAATTCGGCCCTGTTTTGCATTCATTTCACAGGAAATTGGATGAATCTGGGGATTATCAGTAAGTGAGAAAATTTGTTCCAAGATTTCTTCCTACCATTGTAAAATTAGTCGAATTGAGCTTCTTCTTCTTCTTCTTCTTGTTAAACCCTAGATGATGTGTGGAGGCGGTAGTTTGCTGATTTTGATTCTCTTAATGAATCTTTGTTTCAACGGATAGTTTTTCTCTTTTTTTTTTCCTTCTTTTCTTTGGTTGTTGTGGGGGGGGGGGGGGGGG